AACTGAAAAAAAATCAGACCAAGTTTGGACCACGCCTCTCCGAGGACTGCACCCCACAGCCGCGCGGGAACAAGACAAAGGCGACGACGTTCCGAGAGCAGTGGACCTCGCTCTAACCACCACCCTCCTCCCAGGCCGCTACACAACCTTCACGGAGAGTCCAAGATGTGGGTCAGGCCTAAGCTGCCCGTGGACGTTGGTGAAATTTGGGAGAACACACGTCAGCCGCAGGCAGCGCCCCGAGCTGGCCGGGAGGCTTGCTCGTGCTTACACGGCCTCAGAGACACCGGAATGGAGACCCACGACCGACGGGACGTGTGCTGTGAGCACCAGGGCAGAGCCCAGCCCGGGACGGACGCCGGCATGCGGCCGCAGAGGAGGGCTCCGGGAAGCGCCCCAGCGCACAGCATCTCGGCTCTGCCAGCGCCCCGGTGGGTCCGTGACCAGCACCCGGAGGCCACGCGGAGGGAAACAAGAGCATCGCTAACTGGTGGGCGGAGCCAGTCACAAAAACCCTCGTGAGAAATGAAGGAAGCAGCCGCACGTGTGGTCTGTAAATGCAGCGTGGACAGTGAGGCCGACGGGGCCAGGGGGTCAGGACGCTGGGGGCGCCAAGGGCAGCCCCCTGGACGGCCGGCCGCTCACCACACGATGAGTGCCCGCTGATACACACCTGCTCCACCAGCTCGCGTGCACAAGAGCACACAGCAGGTCCCCAGGGGGGCGCCCGTAAACCCGTCTTCTTACGTACAATCTTACGTACAAGCTCGTGAGTTGTGGACACCTGTGCTCCTCACGAAATGAAAACACCCGAGTTCAGAACATGATGTGTACAGAGCTCGTCCCTCCTGCCCACACATGTGGGCACGCGTGTAACCATGAAGTGGAGAGCATGTTGGTTTGGTTGTGGTGAGCCCTTCACGATGTGCACACACACGGCAACATGGAGCCACATGCCTGATGCAGTTTTACACATCAGTCATCCCAGTAAAGACACTAAACACAACCAGGGAGCCCCTGTCACTCAGTCACCGAGCCCCAAACAAATGTGTCTTGTCACCATCCCTGCTTCCCACCATCTTCTCTCAACACCAACCCGCCTCCCAACTGCACTGTTCTTCCCCGGGGCAGCGGCCAGACTTTCTGGATCCTGAACCCAGACTATTCATTCTCAACCTGTTAACGGTGACTGTTCCTCCAGCACTTTCTGCTCAAGCTACAGACATCTTCAACACTGTCACTAACCAATCTGCCACCAACCCACCACCAACCTGACACCAACCCACCAAGTAGCCACCAACCACCACCAACCCACCAAGCAGCCACCAACCCACCACCAACCTGCCACCAAGCAGCCACCAACCCGCCAGCAACCCACCACAACCCAAACAGCCACCAACCTGCCACCAACCCGCCACAACCCAAACAGCCACCAATTTGCCACCAACCCACCACCAACCCACCAAGCAGCCATCCACCCACCACAACCCAAACAGCCACCAACCCGCCACCAACCCACCAAAACCTGCCACCAAGCAGCCACCAACCCACCACCAACCGGCCACCAAGCAGCCACCAACCCGCCACCAACCCGCCACAACCCAAACAGCCACCAATTTGCCACCAACCCACCACCAACCCACCAAGCAGCCATCAACTCACCACAACCCAAATAGCCACCAACCCGCCACCAACCTGCCACCAAGCAGCCACCAACCCACCACCAAGCAGCCACCAACTCACTACCAACCCACCACAACCCAAACAGCCACCAAGCAGCCACCAACCCACCACCAAGCAGCCACCAACCCGCCACCAACCCACCACAACCCAAACAGCCACCAATTTGCCACCAACCCACCACCAACCCACCAAGCAGCCATCAACCCACCACAACCCAAACAGCCACCAATCTGCCACCAACCCACCACCAAGCAGCCACCAACCCACCACAACCCAAACAGCCACCAATTTGCCACCAACCCACCAAGCAGCCATCAACCCACCACAACCCAAACAGCCACCAATTTGCCACCAACTCACCACCAAGCAGCCACCAACCCACCACCAAGCCACCAACAAGTAGCCACCAACCACCTGCGCTGAATCTGTAAGATCCTGAGAACTTGTTTCACTGCCTCCATGAGCAGGGCACCCAGACAACCTCTAAGAGGTTTCCGCCACGCTGTGTACTTGCAGAATTCAAACGTCACCCCACACGTAACATCACTTAAGCAGCAACCTGATCGGGGTTCTCTAACCTGCTCAGCCTTTCATGATTTTTTCCAAAGTGAGCCCTGAATTCAGTGTCTTTACTGCCCTGGCTACTGCTGTTCTCAAAGCACCAGCAGCACGGCTACTCCTTCACACATATGTGCACACACACACACCACACACGACCAGCAGCACGGCTCCTTCACACACACGCACACATCACACATGACCAGCAGCACGGCTCCTTCACATGCACGTGTACACACACCACACATGACCAGCAGCATGGCTCCTTCACACACACGCACACATCACACATGACCAGCATCACGGCTCCTCCTTCACATGCCTGCACAGGCGCACGTCACACATGACCAGCAGCACGGCTCCTCCTTCACACATACGTGCACACACCACACACGACCAGCATGGCTCCTTCACACGCATGCACACACACCACACACGACCAGCAGTACGGCTCCTCCTTCACACACACGTGCACACCACACATGACCAACAGCACGGCTCCTTCACACACACATGCGCACACCACACATACACAGTTCCACACTCTTACCTGCAATCACAACTCACACAAGTACACACACACATGCACAACTGTGCATACACCACACCCACACGTGTGCATGTGTGCATACTCAAGTACACAACAGCATCCTAGGCACACCCTCTCACGTGTGTGTGCACACTCACACACACACTACAGAACCCCCAGGCATACCCCCACTCACATATGCATGTGTGCATGCTCATGTATGCACTACAGCACCCCAGACACACCCCACACTCACATGTGTGCACTCATGTATACACAACGGCACCTCCATGCAGACACCCCCACACTCACACGTGTGTGCACATGTGCACACAACAGCACCCAAGGTACACACCCCACATTCACACGTGTGTGCACAGTCATGTACACACATCACTCCAGGTGCAGACACTCTCTCACACGCCCACACACCCCTATGCACACAACTGCACCCAGGTGCATACAAACGCGTACACACACGCACACACCGGCACTCAGGCCATGCCCGTGGCCGCCTCCCCCTGCGGTGCTCCTCTCCTGGCTCCTCAGATGCACTGCAGGGCTCTCTGCGCTCCTGACCCTGCCTCCCCGAATCTGCACGATCCTCTCACCTCCTGACGGGGGCATCTGACACTTCCTGCCTTGTCCCCCGTCCCTCATCGCTCACCAGGGAGGATAAAGTCCAAAACCGTGGCCCCTTTCCCGACCCCTCGTCCACACACCAGACCCTCCTTCCAATTTCCTACGGGCTCTTCCTCTCGGCAGCACCAAATGCACATGCTCATTTCTTCCAAACTGGCTTTTTGTGAGTCGACACTGCTGATGACTTTACGTTCTTCCTAAAAACCAGGCCCCCAGTCTCGGACTTCCTGGCCCTGCCTCTCCCAGGTCACCCCCCCCGTCCTCACAGCTCGCTGCCAGCAAGCTCCTGCCAGCCTCGTGGCCACACCCCCGGCTGGGCCTACCTCCCTCTGCCCTTCAGCCCTTGCACAGCCGGTACCCACTCACGCATGTGCATCACATGCTCACACGCCCTGCTACAAGCCTGCACACGCACACTGGCCACGTGCCTGTACGTTCCAGTGATGCGATTACGCACACTACCTAACGTGCCTGCATACACCAGCTATGTGCTCACACACACCAGCCACCTGCTCACATACACCAGCTACACATCTACACACACCAGTACCTGTCTACACACACCAGTACATGCTCACATGCAGCAGCTACACACCTAACACAGCAGCTACACATTTATATGTAACACACACACTCACGACATGCTTATACACCCACACGTGTGAATATATTCTAGCTACATGGGTATGTACACCAGCTACATGAAATGCAAACATATACACATTGGCTAGAAACTTGTATACACTGGCCACAGGAGCACATGCTAACTGTATGTGTAAACACACCAGCAACATGCTGGTGTATGCTACATGACTATTACACTTACTGGTTATCTGCTTATATACACACTTAGCGTATGTGTTTATGTACACATGTACATGTATGCATACACTACCTACATATGCACATGTACCAGCCACGTGCATCTACCCATGTTAGCTACGTGCACACACAGATGCTAGCCACACACTTCTACACACAAGCTGCATGCACGCACATATGCTTGTTACACAAACACATTAGCTACATATACAGTAGCTACATGCACACATACACTAGCTACGTATATACACACAGTAGCCACACAGATATACACACACTAACTACATACACACACATACTCTGGCTACACATGTACCCATGCTAGCCACACAGACACATACACTAGCTACATGCACACGCTAGCTACACACACACACACACACACACACACACACACACACACGAGCCGCCTGCTGCTGCCAGAGCCCCACTTCTACACCTTTGCTTGTTTGATCCCCCCGCTGAGGGCATCCTTCCCGCTCTGTGCCTGGTGGCCTCCTCTGCATCTCCGGCTTCCCCCGGGGGCTCTCCCCGCCCCAGGGAACCCCTTCCTCTCTCTGGTCTTCACCTTGCTCCCAGGGTCGCTCTTATCAGGCTTAACTGGCAGAAACTATGATCAACGGCTTCCGACCCATATCCACGGTGCTTGCCCATGGTTCCAGGCCAGTGCACAGCGTCACTCAACCACCACCGCGTTCTCTCCGGAAGGGGCCAAGCCTGCACCCCACGCTGCCCACCACGTCCTCCCCAGGACCCTCCCCGTCACCTGGCAGCATGTGGTGCACGGGGGTGGCTATGTTGATGTCCTGCAGGTGCTTGAGTGTCTCGGTGTGGAAGAGACGCAGCGTGGAGCCTGAGGTGAAGGCGATCCAGATCCCCACGCCGGCGACGACCATGTGGGAGACCACCATGCCTTCTTCCTGGTGTGCCTCCAGCTGGCTCTGGGGAGACCAACGAGAAGGGATGGATGGGGGCCGGGGTGCGCCCGGAGCCTTGCCCGCCGCAGGCGTAGAGCCCAACGGCGGCCGGCAGGTGGGCGAGAGTGGGAAAATGAGGGGGACGGAGGGAAGGAGCGGGCAGAGGGAAGGCCCGGGAATGGGGAGATGCAATGGCTGAAGGAGGCCTGCCAGCACCCCTGACTCTGGTGGGGAGCCAGCAGCCTCTTCCTCGAACCCCGAGCCCACACCTCGGCCTTGGGCGGCCCTGTGAAGGCCGATCTGACCCCACTGCTCCCAGCGCTCCTGGGCTTCCCACGGTGTCTGGGTTTGCAGCTGTCCCTGGGCTGTCCACAAAGGCCACCTGCTACCTCTCTGTGTGACCAGGTCCTTCACCCCGAGTTGTGGCCGAGCTCTGTCCCATCCAGATCTCTATCCTGACAACACTGCTCTACGGGGACCCATGGGGTGGATTTTGTGACTTGGCCCCAGTGCAGGGGGCCAGCACTGGGCAGCTGGCGGTGTTGTGTATTAGGTCTGGAGAAGGGGTGAGCCTGGAGACTTGGGGTGAAGACACTGGATCCTCAGAGCATTCTGGAAGATAATGGCAGATCAAACCCATACGGTCCTCCGGACGGACACACTGTGGCCTGAGTGGCACAGGGAAGTGAGGCGGGCTTACTCCTCTGCCCTAAGGAGGGCTGGTCCCCGACATCTACGCGCAAGGGGGCTAGTGGAGCCTGCTGACCTGCTCGCTGCCCTGGCCACTCCTCGTGGGCTCTCCACACAGCAGTCATTACTCCCTGGGAAACGGGTCTTGACGGAGGAAGGCACATCCAGGAGGATGGTTAAATGGGGGCAGAGTCGTCCATGTTACGGAAGCTCGAGAATCCAGGGGCAAAGCCACGTCCTGTCCTCCCGCGGACACTCCAGGAAGGATGCAGAAGCACAGGCTGCTGGCCCTCAACCCCGGTTTCCAATTCAGCAGGCCCAGATGGGGCCCAGAACTAGCATTCCAGAATGTTCTCAGGACCTGCTGCTGCTACATGTCTGCCCTTTCCACTGCTTTCAGGCAAGTTATTTTAACCATTCACTGCGGTCTGTCCTCCTCGCTCTGTCCCGAGTCACGTCACTTGCCTCCCTGATGTGCTTGCAAGATGCCGTGGGCGCGTCTCCTGTGCCGGGGGCGCGCGCTGTCCGCAACCGCCCGCTGGTGTGTCTCCTGCACTTAGTGGCTGGTGGCCTGTCTTCCCAGACCCAGCTCATCCTGCAGCCTGCAGGTCCTGTGGGTCCCCCTCTCCCCAAGGTGGCTGGTTTCCAGCAGGAAACCGGCCTTCGGACAACACGGACTCCCTAACACCTGCTCCATATTAAAGCCCCTCGGAGGCGCACCTCTGTACAGCAAGGCGGTGTCCCTGCCCCGGCTGGACGCGGCTGCCCCCGTGGGACGCCTTTCGCCCTGAGGGCCATCTGCGAGTACTCACAGGGACCGAGGAACAGCCCCACGCCCGTCCGTACAGAACGTGAGGTCCCTTCCGGCCCCACTGTGCCGACCTCACTTCCGACCAGGCTCCTGGGCCCCCACACCTTTCTCACATGTGACGGGCACGGCTCTCCACAGGCTCAATGTCTCCTTCCAGGAATTCTGCTTGGGCCAGACAGCGGTGGCCCGGGGTTCTCGGATGGAAATAATCTGTGTTTCTGTCCTGCCTTCTGTGTTCTTGGCACCAAAGCCACAGTTTCGCTCTCTCCTGCCAGCTGCCTGGTGTGGCCAGAGCCACCACCGGCCGACTTCCTGTCGGCTGCAGGACGTGGGGTCCCATGGGACGCTGGAGAGGCACATCAAGGACAAGACAGAAAAGCTAGTTGCGGTCCAACGGAAAGTGCATCAACCTCGAGCCCATGTGGGACCCAGCACTTCCAGGTATGGCGCCTGGTGGCTTCCCGAAGGCCTGCTGTCCTATGCCACCCTCCGGGGTCTCCCGCAGTCTAAGACCATCCACCGCCCACGGGCTCGGTATTACTCCAACCACGGTCAGCTCACACTCTATGATGCGAAGGAGCCTACGACAGGCTGGAGGCTTATGGTCCACCTTCTGACATAACAGAACATGCCACCGAGTGTGCCCAGAAATAGGCGTCACCGTCTTGAAATGTGTCTCAGTGAGTGCTGGCAAAACAGCTTCAAGTCCCTGTCCTGCTGAACCACTAATCCTTCCTAAGGAGAGTCTAGACAAATATTTTTGGAAGTCCATAATGACTGAAGTTTATCACGAGTTTGTGGAGATTGGCAACAGTCATTCCAAAATGCCCTCAGAGCCCTCACGGAGATGACGGGGGCCCCTCCCCTGAACAGATTCCCTTCTCTACCACCTTTCATGTGACACTCAGAGGAATTTTTATTCGTGATAGGATTTGTTTCATTGGTGGGGAATTAAAAAAACCTTTGCTATCGGAGTTCACTTAGAGTAGAGATGAGACATGGCAGTGGCTAGATAAAAAATAATTAGGTATATGCAACTATTACTTAAAAAAAGAAATATATAAAATGGCTAAAAAATTCAAAGGTAGAATAAGTGAATTTCTTTCTCCCATCCCTGCTCCCCTGATTAAGACAGCTATTTGCATGTCTCTGAAAGTACACACACGTACATATTAAGCAACTATGAACAACAGGTAATACGTAAAGCACTCTGTAGGCACCCTCTGTACATGTACATTCACACAATGCTCCACAACTTGCCCCTCCTCCACTTAAGTGAACACCTGCTGGTGCCACCCGTCTTTCTCTCCCACCACTACCAAACATGGAATTATTTAACTAGTCCCCCGACTGGTGCTTATTTAGGTATTTTCAATTATTCATGACATCACACAACATGGTAGTGTGTATCCTTACACACACATGCACAAGCTTACCCCAGGAGTAAATGTCTAAGGTGGTATTGCCAGGAAAAGGTTTGAGCCATTTGAAAGCCAGACACTGACACAGGATTGCCTTCCAGAAATGCTGCCCTATGGCCTCCCTCCACTAGCGAGTCCCAGGGCCCTGCACTTGCCCAGGACAAGCCACAACATGCCTGCAGCTCGCCAACGCTGAAAAGTGAGAAAGTTTCACTTTTCACCCATTTGAAAAAATGGCTTCTTCTTTAAAATTTTTTTTTTTTTTATTTTTGAGAGTCAGAAAGAGACAGGGCGAGCAGGGGAGGGTCAGAAAGAGACGGAGACACAGAATCCGAAGACAGGCTCCAGGCTCTGAGCTAGTTGTCAGCACAGAGCCCGACACGGGGCTCGAACCCACTAACTGCAGAATCATGACCTGAGCCGAAGTCAGACACTTAACCAACTGAGCCACCCACGCACCCTGAAAAATGCTTATTACAATAAGCACTTTTTATCGATAAGGCTAATGCACAGGTGCCTGTATGCACAGGTAAACATGTGTGAGTATGCTGGCTGGGTATACAGACACACACATATCTGTGCATTGTACAATTTTTAGTTTATTACCCTATTTGTGTTTTTCTCTGAGCTGCCTTTTTTTTTAATGTTTTATTTATTTCTGAGAGAGAGAGAGAGGCAGTGTGAGCAGGGGAGGGTCAGAGAGAGAGGGAGTCACAGACTGAAACAGGCTCCAGGCTGTGAGCTGTTAGCACAGAGCCCAACGCGGGGCTTGAACCCACAAACCATGAGAACATAACCTGAGGTGAAGTCGGACACTTAACCAACTAAGCCACCCAGGCGTCCCTCTGAGCTGCCTTCTTATGTCCTCTGAACATTTTTTATTAGCTGGGCCTCTTTCTCTTAAAATTAATAAGAATTCACTTTATGCTAAGAACATTAACTCTTAGTCACAGATGTAGCATATGTTTTCTCCATTTTCATTTACAAAACTTTCTATACAAACATACACTTGTTAAATGTGCACAAAAAATGTTCTAAAACTGTATCAAATTTTATTGTTTTCTTTATTATGGCAACTTCTAGGTATGTGTCATGCTTGGAAAATCTCTCCCGCTGCAAAGTAATGAGAACATTCTACTGCTTTCTATCTAAGTTTATGGCTTTGTTTATGTCTTAAAATTACCTCCATCTGTATGTTTAGAAGAATAAAGACTCAGGGCCCAGGGGCCGGCTCCACATTTCCACATTGCCAGTTGTCTCCTGATCCTTTATGGAATAATTCAAGTATTGCATTGATTGGAAAAGGCTACTTCGATCATATGTCAAGTTTCCCCATGTCCTTGAAGACTCTCTTTTATGTTCATACTGAACACATTTTTTATTTATTTATTTATTTTTTTTTAAATTTTTTTTAACATTTTTTATTTATTTCTAGGAGAGAGAGAGAGAGACAGCGTGAGCAGGGGAGGGTCAGAGAGAGAGGGAGTCACAGACTGAAACAGGCTCCAGGCTCTGAGCTGGCAGTCAGCACAGAGCCCGACGCGGGGTTTGAACCCACGAACCGTGAGATCATGACCCAAGCGAAAGTCGGACGCTTAACCGACTAAGCCACCCAGGCGCCCCTGAACACATTTTTTATTAAAAAAAATTTTTTTTAAATGTTTTATTTATTTCTGAGAGAAAGACAGTGTGAGCAGGAGAGGGTCAGAGAGAGAGGGAGACACAGAATCTGAAGCAGGCTCCAGGCTCTGAGCTGCCAGCACAGAGCCCAGCGAGGGGCTTGAACCCACGAACCGTGAGAACATGACCTAAGCCGAAGTTGGATGCTTAACCGACTAAGCCACCCAGGCGCCCCTGAACACACTTTTTAAAGTGATGTGTTTGTATTAATTGCAGGTAAACAATGGACAGTTCTTCCATGGACACAAGGCTAGAGGGCGGTTAGCTGAGTCATCTAGTTAATCTGGTCTTTCCCAGACAAATCTAGGAGGCATTTTCCCTCTGCAGGGCCACACGCGAGAGGCTGCCGCATCAGCTACGAGCCACAGGCCCTCTGGCCGCCAGCACTGGAGGCGGACTGGGGCCAGCCCTGAGGTGTCTCTCTTCCGTGCCGTGCACTCAGGAGGCTTACCTCTATCGTGTGGGTCTCGGTGCTGATGGTAAAAACTTGACCTCCAGAAGCTGCCCATAATGTGTCCTCCGTCATGATGAGGCTTCTAACAGGCAGGACGCCTAGTTTTATCACTTTCTGAGGTTCAGGATTCCAGGACCCATCTTAAAAAAAAAATTTACTTTCAAATTCAGTTATCTGTGCACAGGGACTTGGGAAAAGGATCCTGGGTCATTTTAAGTAACAGGTAAAATATCCTGGTAATCGTGATGCGTGCGCTTGGCTCCGGGGGTCTAGAGCTCCAAGCGCGCCATTTCCATGAGGCAACAGCGCGGGGACAGAGCCCAGAGCAATGTTGTGACCCCGGCCCGGCCCCCAGCTGCCTGTCCCAGAGTAACCGCCCGTGAGGCTGCTGTGACAGTGAGGTGTGATGATGCGATCGATGAGCTCAGCACAGTGCTGGCAACCAGGCGTGTAGTATGTCCTGTTACCCACAAAGCTAATGCAGGAAATGACTCAGTTGCCAGGAGAAGGATCCGCATCAAAATGGCACAGGCCAATGTTCACACTGCCCACCGCCTGCTCTTACTTTTGAGATTTCCCATGATCTCCGTCCTGTATTATCAGGACAGACCGTGACTTCCCTGAATTAAAACAGTAAGTCAGAACTGAGGTGAGAAACTTTTGCTTGCTCTGTTCCTGAAACGCAGGCACTAATGAAATACTAGCTTTGCAAGTATTTTCAAGGATCTACGGATGAAGCCGGTCATACTTCGTATCAAGTGTGAGTCCACAAGCAACTTGGACAGTGACAAAAACATGTAAAGCAAGATTTGGCATAGTTTTCAATGTGACTACGTAATTATCCTGTGAAAATTTAAAATAAACTCTTCAATTTTCAAACCAACCGTTAATGAAGCCATCGTGCCTAAAAACATTTAACGGTTAATCCGCCAGCACCTCTGACTTTCTAATCAGAACGAGCTTTCTCTGGGATGACGGCAAGGTCTTGGCTCCGAATCGAGTTCTGGCTTCCATGTTCTGGATCTGAAGCATCGAACCTTTCAAGCCAATCCCTCTTTACGAATCACTGAAGCTGAGGTTGTGGGGACACTGAGAGGCAAGAAGGCAAGCTCTGAATTCCGTGGCACACTGTCAAGTTTAATTCAACTTGCATGGAAATGCTTTTATCTTGCACTTAGGCCAAGAGACACAGGACAATTATTGGCTCCAGCAGACAGTCACCAGTAAAATCATTTGTAAAATCCACACTGGGTATCATCGCGTGGTTACAGACACATGCACACACGAGTACAAACTAGCATTCACACGTACACACACACGTACACACAAAAGCACACAGGCCTTCTCCTCTGGGACTCACAGCCCTTTGAGACACCATGGTCTCCACTTTTGATGGGATCATAGGGTCAGAGCGGAGACACGATTTTCCCCAACATCCGCACGGGACTGAGAGAGCAGGGCTTGTGGCTCCCCACTGCCCCCGCCCTGGCCCCATGGTCCCTGCCCCTTGGGCAGCTGCCACACCAATCTGCCACCCGCCGCAGTCATGTTATTTTGGTTCAGGATTAACTTCGAACAATGAACTTTGTTTTCCGAGCAACTCAGTTACTCCTTCTACAGACCCTGTGCACAAAGTCCTCTGGGGGCCGCGGGGGAGGGCACAACGTCGGTCCCCGGGGTGCGGGCGTCAGCTCCGGCCAATGCACCACCTGTCTGGGGACAGCCTCTTTCTGGAGTCTTCCCTCCAGACCCGAGTTCTCTACCAGGCTGTCCAACCACAGCTGGGTGCAAACACATGCCGATGACATTTTAAGCCCAGACTTAAAAATCTGGAAATTTCCTACAGGACATTCCAGATCTCAAACTCCCTGAAAAGTCAAATGCTTGCAGCAGGGGCTGGCTGAGAAGCAGCCTTCCTGCCTCCAGCCAGGCACGTCCTCACACCTCCGGGAACACCACAGGGTGAAGAGCCTCTCTCCAAAGACGACATTCACGCGGCCAACAGGCGCGAGAACTCCTGGTCAGCACCACTCACCATCAGAGAAACGGAGTGGAGGCGCAGTGGGAGACCTCGCACACCTGTGAGAGGGGTATCCTCAGAGACGGCAGGCGTTGCGAGGACGCAGAGAAAAGGGGACCCTTGCGCACTGCTGGTGGGAACGCACACTGGCGCAGCTGCTCTGGAGGGCGGTGTGGAGGGGCCTCGAGATTAAAAACAGAGCTACCCTACGACCCACCGTCCCACTTCTGGGCACTGACCCGAAGGAAACGCGAACAGTAACGTGCACAGTAACGTGCACCCCATGTTCACACAGCATTATTCACAATCGCCAAGACACAGAGAAGATCCGAGTGTCCACCGATGTGTGAAAGGACAGAGACATGCTATACACACAACGGAATATCATTTGGCCATAAAAAATGAGGAAATCCTACCACTCACAGCGTAGGAGGCACGTCAAAGACAAATACCACACGATCTCCCTCACATGCAGACGCTCATCCACAGGAACAGAACACAGACTGGTGGTGCTAAGGGGATGGGGGGGAGGAGGCCCCGGGGGGTGGGGGGAGGAGGCCCGGGGGGGGGGGGGGGGGGGGGGCGGGGGGGGGGGGGGGGGGGAGGAGGCACAGGACAAGGCAGCTGAGGCCAGAGGCAGGGGAGGCAGCAAAAGGAAGGAAAGAGAAGCCAGGCCAGGAGATGGGCTGGAGACAGAGGCCAGGCNGGGGGGAGGAGGCACAGGAGGAGGCGGGCCACCCAGCACCTTAAAGGTGTACCCTGTCACGTCAACTGCATCCTGATAAAGGCAGGAAACAAAAGGTCTAACCTGGCCCCAATTAAAAACAAACCTTGGATACGTTCACAGTGCTGGAAGAAATGGACATCAACACCCCAGGTCAACTGAGGAAGCCTGGTCTGTCACACTGAAATTACGGAACTGCAGACTTTCAAATCGTTAATCATTCCCGTGAAACATAATGTCTCCCAGAGCAACAGCAAGAACTCGAGGGAGCCGTGCCACCCAAGCCGACGAAGACGATGGAGAAGGCAGAGCAATCCCGTGGTGATGCTCATAGGAGCCGAAATAGATGTGTACTGAATTCTGAGTACAACTGGTCCTCCCTCCCCGAGGCACTGCCCCGCCCTAAACCCGCTAACTCCGCGGCCCTCGGGAGGGGTGCAGACACCTGCTTCCTGCCTTTCCAGTCCGCGCCCCTCCTGGGGACCCGCGGAGGCCCGGCCCCTGGCGGAGCTCGGGGAGGACGGGCACCCCCAGGCTGGGCTCCATGGCCTTCCCGCACACGGCTCTGACCCCAGCCCCCCTGGCACTCTGGCTGCCGCGAGAGGCGTTCGCCTCTGTGTACTGTTCTGTTCCTCCCCTGGGTGCGAGGAGTGGGACCTGCGCCCACCTGCAGCCGCTGGTGACCAGCTCAGGGTCCCCTGAGCCAGCAACACTCAGACTGTCCCTGAGATGGTGACTGAGAGTGGCGTGGAGCCCGGGCGGGGGGACCACAGGCGAGCAGGGTCAGGAACAGAACGGGTCCTGGAGGACCCTGGCAGCCCCCCTTCCTAAAGCAGATTCAGCCCTTGGCTTCCACGCACTTGATCCTTTGGGTAAATTTGCCGTATTACTTGTGCCGGCTGCTTTCCTCCCTGGGGACCTAACTGGCATGGGGGCGGCCACGTGCCGCAGAAACCCTCCAGCCTGGATGTGCAAGCCACTGGGACCGGGGAGGGTGGGGTGCGTAGGGCGTCCCTCAGTGAGACGGTGTCAGGCGGGGCCGCGACGGGATCAGCGCCCTTGCAAGGCCGACGTCCCAGAGCTCGCGCTCCTCCGCTGCGCGAGGACCGGGTCCTGCGGTGAGGCTGCGCCCTCTGCAGCAGAAAGCGACTCTCCCCAGGACCCCGGCCAGGCCCCACTCCGTGGCGTTCACTATGGCGCCCGAGCCATCAGCTGAGACGCGCCGTCTTACCTCTGTGGCCCTGGGGCAGGAATCGCGCGTCCCTGTCAACCTGGGGCCAGAGGTGCAGGGAGGCCTGCTGGCCAGGGGGGAGGTGGGAGGAGGCCCTTGAAGACAAGAGCTTCCGCAAAGAGGGACGGTCCATAAAGTCAGCATGGCAGGAGCCAGCGTGAACGGGAGGCCCTGCCCCTGCCTCGGAGAGTCACGGCCTGGGGGGCCCAGCGAGGGGGATGCCCACTCGCCCCACTGCTGTTGCCGAACCACTGGAACACTGGCTGGGCTGGCGGGCTGGCGACGACCCCGAGCAGCCGCTCCCCCGGGCGGCCTGCAGTCACCTCCCCAGGGGAAGAGAGCCTCACGGCGCTGGGGGAGGCCCGGGGCGGCTGGGGGAAGAGGGACGCGCACTGAGGGCTGTGGCCCGTGGGAGTCGCCAGGATACGGTCCTCTGAATCAACTCCTCCCGTGCGGCTGGCGATGCTCCTGTCGGGGCTGGGAAAGCCACACGTGCCCGGAACCAGCTGGGTAAGTGCTGACGGGGATGTGACCCTGAAACCCACAGCACCCCCAGACTCGGCCAAGGGATGCGCGCGCGCAGCGCAGACACAATTACCTTCCACCTTCTCGTAGACGGCCACGGCCCCGTTGACCAGGCCAGCATACAGGTTCTGGGGCGTGCAGGCGAGGCTCATGACCGTGGACTTGTCGGGGGCGAAGAAGTGCTGCAGACGCACTTTCTTGGAGCCCTGGCTGCTCTTGTAAATGGAGATGCTTCGAGAGAAGAACGAACCTTGTCAGTGCATTTGCTGGGGATGGGAGGGGAGCCTCATCTCTTCATGCACGTGTCCCCATGTGCTCATGATGCCCCAGCCCTTCCCGCTCCTCCCACCTCCCGCCCTGGGCAGAAATGCTGCTGCTACTCTCATCCCTTTATTTTTTTGTTAAAATTTTTTAAACGTTTATTTACTTTTGATAGACAGAGTATGAGTGGGGGAGGGGCAGAGAGAGAGGGAGACACAAAATGTGAAGCAGGCGCCAGGCTCTGAGCTGTCAGCACAGAGTCCGATGCAGGGCTAGAACCCACGAACTAGGAGGTCATGACCTGAGCCGAAGTCGGACACTCAACCGACGGAGACACCCAGGCGCCCCTCTTCCCTTTATTTCAAAGTTGAAATTCTGGGTTAATACCGACCAATCTTAAAAAATTACTTCTTCTGACCTAACTTGAAGCTTCACATCAGGAAAATCATTTTTACTTTCCTTTAAAAGGTGTCTGTATTCAATACGTTTATGGCACAGACTCTGGCCCTGTTTTTTTCCAAAATATGGACAGAAAAGTACTTTTAAAAGCAGGGATCAGAAGGCATGGGTCAGGGGAAGGCGGCAGGCAGCGCTGTGGTCCCTGCGTCATTCCCGCGGGCGCGCTGGCTAGCCGTGTCCCAGGGCAGCGGCACCAGGCGCTACCGCTGCGCAGCGTCCCCCCCAACAGACAGAGCAGGTGGCCGTCAGCTCCTGGTTGGGAGCGGCACGAGCGGGCTCACCTGCCCTCCTCGGTGCCCAGGCAGATGGTGGGCACGCCCGGCGCCCTCCCAGCCGCGGCCCCAGGGTCCGCGGGGACGAACACCATGCACAGGGTCCGGGACTCCACGTTGAAGCACTCGATGACTTTGGGGCTGGAGCTCTGGAAGGACACGATGGCGATCTGGCCCATCTGGCTGGTGCAGCTTCCGATCTGAGGCAGGGGTGGGGGGAGAGGGGCGGCTGGAGACTTCCACAGCCGCGGAGCCCTGACACTCTGTGGCGGCCAGGAGAATTGATGTGCCCGCGAGGACCATCGCGATTAGGAGGGTCACGGGCACCTAATCTGATGCCAGCGCCGTTTCTTTTCAACTCATGGGGCTGCTGTCGCAGTTACTTTTCGTAACAAGAGCAGAGTTTGGCTTTTTATGACGTGCATTTCCATCCCTGAGAAGCCACATCCCAGCACTACAGGTGACGGCTGCTCAGGCACCATTCAGAGTCTAAATATGGGTGAGTACCGACTCTGAGCGGTTTAACACTAACGCTCACCTAGGAAAACGAGTGCTGAAGACGGGGCAGCGCCCGAACGCCTCCCCATGGGGTCGCCGGCGTGCGCACGCGAGGCAGTGTGCCCGTATCTGTGACACCACTGTCACCGTGGGGGGCCTGCGAACCTGTGTGCCCGGTCGCTGAACACACTCGGCAAACTTCGTTTCCAACTTGAAGTTAAACTGTTGGGTCTTTTTATTGTTTTTATTTTTGAAAGCGAGAGAGTGTGATCAGGGGAGGGACAGAGAGAGGTCGACACAGAATCCGAAGCAGCTCCAGGCTCTGAGCTGTCAGCACAGAGCCTGACGTGGGGCTCGAACTCACTTACGATCCATGAGGTCAGGACCTGAGATGGAGTCAGAGGTGCCCCAAAGTTAAACTGTTGTTTGAGTGGGAAGAGTGGGCTCGTTCATGGAAGAAACGACAGCACAGGGCTCGAGAGGTCCTGGGGGGGAAGGCCGGCCACAGGAGGGGGTGTTTAGGCTTCCCAGACCCTTGCTCCTTCGCGCCAGCTTTGCGAATGCTCCCTCAGTCCCCTGACCCCGATGCAGGGTCTCCACGCTGCAGGCAAGCGTCCTGCTCTGACGGCCGTCCAGGGGACTGGAGCCACGGCCTGGCCCTGTGCTGGCCGGTGGGGACGGGGTGTGACCAGGAGGGAATGGAGCACCAGTTCCACGTCCGATTGATGGAAAAACTCTCTTAGCATTCGAAAACCTGAGGGAGAGAAGCCCGTCCCGTCCTTGGTCGCAGGGCGCACAGAACGGCCAGTTAATGAGGCGGCCCCTTGCGCACACTCAGGGAGGGCGCTGACCACGCGCAGGCGCCGGCTGTGGGGCAGCAGGGCGCCCGTCGGGGAGGAGGCCTGGGGGCACAGGGAGGGGGCACCGGAGACCTCAAAACGCAATGCAGGGGGACGCGCTCTGGTTTGCAGGAACCAGAAACGCCTGCTTTGACTGCAGCGTGATTCAAATGCGGTATTTCATTTGGAACAAATTAACTTCAATTGCTAAGCTTCCAGTGTAAAAACAGCCAGCAATGCCTTGGAAGGGGGAAAAAAATCTCATGCAATTTAACCACCAAAATTGAAGGGATACTTATTCTCATATTAGATAAGCTTGTTGAATCTAATCTGGTAAAGTTTTAGATGAAAAAGAAAAGGCAGGGACATTCTAATTCCTGAATCACACATCTTTTCCAGAAGCGTTCGGTCCCCGTCCTGGTTCCTGACTTCTTTGTTTATAAACACAGCCTAGCACACACGGGCTGCACGGTCTAAGTCTGAACCTTTCAAACCTACGAGTTCTCATCACAGGGCTCATGGACACCAATCCTTCAGGGACCCGCGTCATAGACATGCAGCGCGTCTTACCCACAGGAAACCGTGCGCCGTGGACGACGAATCTGGCTGGACCTCACTATTCACACAGGGCTCCGGATTGTAGGCGGCGCATTCGATCTAATGGGAATGTAATCAAACGCCCGCATTTAACGGGAGTGGGAGCCGTCAGACAACGTGGTACCTTGAGCAGACGACAGACTTGTGACATTTAGACACACAAACTGCAGGTGATTACTTACTAGAGATTAGAATGGGAAAGAACAATGGATGGAAATCTGCTTTTTGGAGCCAAACCCCTAAGGAGCCACGTCAGTCCTCACTTGGGTATCTTCACACCCCAGGACACGCCTCACAGTCTCAGAACGCGGGGGGGTGGGGGGGGGGTCGGCGCCCTGGACGCGGGTGGCGTGGGCACATGGGCCGTCGTCCTGTCTTCTGCCCGCCGCCCGCCCCCCTTCAGAGCCGCAGGGAGCCCGGGCTCCAGGTCCGCGTGTCGGCCGAGGCAGAGAAGTAGGAACGTGCTTCCTCGCTTCTCACACACACACGTCCCCGTGTCCCCGAAGCACCCGCCGCGGTGCCTCCACAGGCAGCAGGGACCACAAACAAAACGGCCCTCGACCTGGGCTGGCGGGTGCAAACGGGCGCAGCCTTCAGGCAAACGCGGGGCTTCTGCCTGGACCCACGGAGGGAACTGGTGCCACCAAGCACGGGGCAGCAGAGCCACACGCCCCTGGCGGTGGGAGCCGCGCGCCCTGGAGGCCCAATGGCACAGGCTGGCGTCGGGCGCGGCGAGAGCGCCCCGGCACCAGGTCGGCCGACTTCGTGCTCGGACGTCCTAAACGGTCCCCAGTGACAGAGCCCTGGAGAAGCGGTGGGGTGACCGCAGCTGACCTGGGGCGACAGCGTGGGCGCTGCCTCCCGGCCCACCCGCCGTCACCTTGAACTCCTGCTGCTTGGCCACTGTCACTGCCATGTGTCCCACGAGGAGGGGGTGTCGCTCCTTCTTAATCTGATTCCCGTCGTCCTCCACGCAAAACCAGCCCATGTGATTCTCCTCCTCTGCGGTCGGGTCAGAGAGGCGGGAAGGACAGCACTGAGCCGCCGCGGCCTCCTGGGGGCTGGGCCTCCATCCCCCGCAGACCCCGGACCCCGGCCTCCGTCCCCACAGACCCCGGACCCGGCCTCCCGTCCGTCCCCCGCAGACCCCGGACCCGGGCCTCCCGTCCGTCTCTCGCAGACCCCAGACCCTGGCCTCCGTCCCCACAGACCCCGGACCCGGGCCTCCGGTCCGTCCCTTGCAGACTCTGGACCCCGGCCTCCGTCCCCACAGACCCCGGACCCGGGCCTCCGGTCCGTCCCCCAAGACCCTGGACCCGGGCCTCCCGTCCGTCCCCCGCAGACCCTGGACCCGGGCCTCCTGTCCGTCCCCCGCAGACCCTGGACCCCGGCCTCCCGTCCTGAGGAGGCTACAGAGCTAATATTTGTCTCTGGAAAACAGCACGATCTTTCCTCAAGGGAAAAGCAGTACATTCACTGCTTTATTCTGAGAAAGCGTGTCCATCCCATTCCTATTTGCTCCCCCCAACTGCGCTGAGGCAACGGGCTGAGAAATATCGCTTGTAAAGCACCTAGAGCTGTTTTCCTTGACCTTTTTTTTAAGCAACTGAGATGTTTAGATTAAAATACCACAGATACAGTGGGACGGTCTCTGACACGGTACAATAGTACGGAACAAAAAAAGAGAAAACGAAGAAAAACTTTGCTATAAAGCAAGTTGCCCGTCTCAGCTTTGCATTCATAATGAAAGCTCTTAAAGACACAGGGAGCTCATTTCCAGGGTCAGCCCGCTTCCTGGCTTGGGGACTCGCCGAGGAGCCTGGCCTGATAAAGCATGAGATTAATGAGGAAGAGAGGCAGGGCGAGGGCCCGTCACTGATCACAGCTCCTGGGGGGTGAGCACTACGAGGGCCCGATTCTCTTCTGTATTTTATTTTCATTTAACAGACTGCGTCTCAAAAAGAACTGCACGGGGGCGCCTGGGTGGCTTAGTCGGTTAAGCGTCCGACTTTTGCTTGGGTCATGATCTCGTGGTTCGTGGGTTCGAGCCCCGCGTCGGGCTCTGTGCTGACTGCCAGCTCGGAGCCTGGGTTCTGTTTCAGTCTGTGACTCCCTCTCTCTCTGACCCTCCCCTGCTCATGCTGTCTCTGTCTCTCTCTCCTAGAAATAAATAAAACATTAAAAAAAAAATTAAAAAAAAAAAAAACTGCACGCACACGCAATATACAGTGTGAGCTGAGCGACAGACCCGTGTGTGTAAGTCACACACATCTACCTACGCAGGTCTAGAGAGAGAGGTCTGCCCGATATGTGGATCGAGAGACAGCAAGGCCGTGGACAAAGGAGCAAGAAAGTAACCATGAAGTCCCTTCCTCTTGGATCAAACTACAGGATTTCCTTTTCTTGCTGGAGGACAGCTGAGTGACGATTTGGTGTCAACCCGCACTTTCTCCCAGGTTGGGGAGGGGAACCACGGCTGGACCAGACCCGGCTCCCGACGCCTGGGCCACAGACTCACAGGCCCTGACTGCCCGAGTTGACGGTTTCAGCTGAGCTCAACGTTTTATTACGATAAGAGAGAGTGCTTAGTTTTTTCATTGATCCCTAAACTACAACGTAGAGGTCTTAAAAAATTACTCATCCTGGGGCCAGTTTTTCCTGTCTAAAAACATTCTTTCGGGGATACCTGGGTGGCTTAGTCAGTTTAGCACCCAACTTGGGCTCAGGTCATGATTCTGCAGATCGTGGGTTCGAGCCCCGTGTCCAGCTCTATGCTGACAGCTCAGAGCCTGGAGCCTGCTTCAGACTGCCTTCCTCTCTCTCTGCCCCTTTCCTGCTCACACTCGTCTCTCCTTCAAAAATAAACAAACATGAAAAGAAAAAGAAAAACATTCTCTCAGGTGAAGGGACGAATCCATCGTGAGGTCATTCTCGACCGTGGCCTCAACCCTCTCAGGTGCGTGTTTCACCGTCACAGGGAGTCGGAGGACCGGCGCACACGCACGGCCTCCCGTGCGGCCGCGCCCCATGCTCACCCAGCGCCAGCTTGGCCATCTGCAGGCTGTTGGTCCAGGACTCTTTGATGGCGGGCGTGAACGTATTGAACACGGCTGTGAAGAACGTGGGCCGCCCGGACCTGCCAGGGACACGGGGAAGGTGTTCGTCTCAGGCGTGTGCGGCCCGCCGGGAGGTCGCGTCCGAGCCCGCCGCCCGCCGCCATCGCCGGACCGAGCGGGCAGGCTTAACGACAGAGGGCTGGTTCCCGGGCCGGCCAGGCCCCCGCACGTCACCACTGACTTGTCCTGCTTCCCGGGCAGCTGTAACTGGATCCGGCAGCAGTCCGCGGCCCTGATCTCCTCTTCCTTCTTCAGAATGAGCCTCTGTAAACCCGACGTCCAGTCGTGGGCCACTGACTGGTTCAAGTTCTGCAAACGAAACCCACACGTGCGTGTTAACATGTTACCGAGGTGGGGCTGGCACACGGGAGGAGGACGGCAACGCCGGGCCGGCGGGGTGAGGAGACACGACCGCTCACGTCGGATTCCGAGCACAAACCCCCGGGGCTCGGGCGCCTGGAGGCCTGGCTGAGACGTTTCTAAGGGGGCTGCTACTCAAGTCCACGAGCAAGGGAAGGAAAGTGACCCTGAAATAGTTCCGCCCCCCCGCCTCCCCAGAAACGGGAGAAAACATGCCGCCGGACCGGCTCTGAAACCACAGTACTTCTCACGTCTGGTGGGGCCCGGAGGCGCGGCCACGCTCTGACAGGACTTAGAAGTGACAGAAGAATTGTGAGTCACGGGTCTTCGATTATTACCTGATAGTTTCCCTTGAGGTTCCCGATCAGCTGCGAGATCTGGCCGACGACATTCAAGTCATGCAGGAGGTTCTGCAAATCCCGATAGAGCTGTCCCGGCCCCACGTACACCTGGTCTGCAAAACAAGCGAGTGGCACGCGTCTCAGGCCGCGCCCGGGCCCGTGCTGGGGGGAAGAAAGCACTAAAATGAAGATTCTGGCCTATTTAGAATTTTAAAAAAGTGGGTACTTACAAGCATTTGGTGGTCTTTCCTTTTCTAACTTTAAATTGTGGAATGATTTCAGACTTAGAGAAAAGACACACTCATGTACACCCTGCACCCAGCATCTCGGGGTGCTCTGATCTCACAGAACCCACACGGACGGAGCCCTGTAAATGACCTGCAGCCTCCCCACTCACGTCACCCGTGGCCGTGCACCCAATTTGTGGCCCCATGCACACTCAGCTGCTGTGGTCTCCTTAACTCTCTTCTAATTTAGGCCCTTTCCTTGGGGTTTGTCTTTCATGACCTCAACTTTGTGACCCAAGCTGGTGAGCTGTTTTGTGGAAGAGCTCACACTCTCCGGTGAGTTAATCCGTGAAACAGCTCACACTCTCCGGTGAGTTAATCCGTGAAACAGCTCACACTCTCCGGTGAGTTACTTTGTGGAACAGCTCACACTCTCCGGTGGGTTCTTTCATGGAACAGCTCACACTCTGGGTCTGACGGACGGTTTACCACTCTGGGCGCTAAGCGCTGTTGATATCATTGCTGTAAAAAGTATCTAGAAACAGCACTGAACCCAAACCAAATCTCCAATAACTAAGGTCATCCAACATCAGAATGGGCTCCCCGGTGCACTATCACCAACGTGAAGAACAAGGTCACAGACAGGACTCTTGCTGGGGTAGGGAGTCTCTGGGGCCAGGCTGTATCTTCCCTGTGGGACCCCAGCAGCAGGACTCGGGAGCCCCTCCCACCTCACTCTTGTGTGCAGCAGGGACAGTGCACCCTCCCACCCACGCTGATGTGCACATCTGTATCGTGCACGGACTGCTTGCCCTGTTTCTACTGTACATGTGCGACATCATGGGTCACCTCGAGTCACAGAACCAGGCACCCGTGACATCACGCGCGCCCTCCAGAGTGACACCTGGGCACCGTGACATCACACGCGCCCTCCAGAGTGACACCTGGGCACCGTGACATCACGCGCGCCCTCCAGAGTGACAGCCGGGCACCGTGACATCACGCGCGCCCTCCAGAGTGACAGCCGGGCACCGTGACATCACGCGCGCCCTCCAGAGTGACAGCCGGGCACCGTGACATCACGCGCGCCCTCCAGAGTGACAGCCGGGCACCGTGACATCACGCGCGCCCTCCAGAGTGACAGCCGGGCACCGTGACATCATGGGTGCCCTCCAGAGTGACAGCCGGGCACATGTGTGGGTTCTGCCTGTATGTGGACCACGACCGCGTCCTCCATCAGCACAAACCCCACCCTGTCCACTCCTCCAGTGTTTTCTTTTCTGTCTAAAAGCAGCACAGGTCCTGCTGCTGAATGGGAAGGGAGACTGAGCAGGACTTTAAATCAGGGGACCTTGGGAGCTCCCTCAATGCTCCAGCACGAGTGACTATGACATGGGTGGCAGCCGCCTCTGTCCTGCGGGAGGACCCCACTGTCACAGGAGTCCAAGGGGGGCAGCCTTCATTCACAAAAGCTATCTGTTAACAGCCTGAGCTGTAGGCACCATCAGAGGACCTCCGCGTTGGGGAAGATCAGGCAAACGGTTCCCATACGGAGGAGCTGAAGGCGCCGGGAGCACGCCTGCGAACCATTCGCACGTGTGGGGAGTCTGCACGTGCTTCGGCAGCAGTACCTGCGGGGTGAGCACGCCGATCTCGAGGTCCCGTGTGGCTGTCAGGTAGCATTTCAGAGGCCAGGACTCACTGAGACTCCGGCTTCCGCCGCCATAATGAAGATACTTGCACACGAGAGGTGAGGCCCCCAGAGTGGGCCCTACTCTTAGTCGGGCAGGAAATACAGCGGGCGCTCAGTGGAGGTGGTGGAGCTGGGAATGGAGGGACGGACCGCTCCCCCCGGTCACAGGGGGCCGCCCTGCCCAACGCCTCCTGGAGAGAGGCCGTCCTGCCTGGGCAGCCAGGACTGCAGGGCCCCGCGGCCACCCCGCGGTCACTGCTGTGGGGTCCCAGCAGGCAGAGTGAGGTGGGTGGAGGGGCAGGAAGGAGGGAGTGGCTCGGAGAGAAGGAACCCAGCCGTCTAGCAGGGTGATGGGGGTTCTTACAGTCCATCCATAGTTAGGACTTAACTCCAATTTTTTAAACTGAACCTGAGAGGTAAGCCTAACAATGTCAACGTGCATTTCTGGAATGGTCACAGATACTTGTACTTGAAATGTTCTGGCGTCAGCAAGAAGGGAAGGGCTCTGCAGGCCTCTGGACACAGACAACAGTCTCATCAGCGCTTCTCCAACCAGGCGGTCACTCCCGCAAACGCTGGCTCCAGCGCGTCCTGACTTTCTCGGGGAAGCCATCTGGGTTCCACCACAGGAGCCACCAGGTGCTACTTAGCTCCCTCAGAACTTCCCGTGAGCTCCGTCCCAGGGCACCAGAGACGGAAGGAACACATTTAGGGGAGCGCTACAAAGCAGCGGTGGTGGTCCCTGCTGACGGCTACGTGTCATCATCTGTCACCGGCTGAGGACTCGGACACAAGACGTGTGAGTTTCCCTGACAGGTCGTAGCTGCCTTCCAGGAGGAGACTGACAGGGACGGGCGGCGGGGCCTGCATCTGTGACGGGGGAGAGGGGGCCCCTCCACGCTCCACGGCTGCACAGGGGCCAGGAGATACCCGCCGAGCAGGGAGAGCCGCACCGCGTCCTGGGCCCCCAGCACCACGGCACGGCGTGTGGCTGCTGTCACCAAGGGGTCAGGGACACATGCCTTCATCCGTGGCAGCGTTTGCCCTAAAAAGTGCTGCGCTTTTCAAACCATTAAAGCCTCACTAGAGTAGGCTCCTCCCTCCTGTCCTCTGACCTTCCGGACACTTCTGGCCACTTGCTCAGGAGTGAGCACAAGGAGGCAGCAGGAGGGGCTGACGTGTCACAGGCACCGTGCTGTCCCCACCCACAGGTGACGGTGGCGGCTGCCGTCGACGTGGGGCAGGCAGAGACACGGGGGGGAGCACGGGATTAGCCCTCACCCCTCGAGGCCCTGCCCCACACACGGAACCAACCCCAGGAAACCAGGCTGGCCCTCGCTCCCCAGAGCGAGAGAGAATCTGACCCCATGCCCCGGCCGGAAGGGTCCTGGAGGACACAGCCTTCCAAGGCAGAGTTTAGTGTTTCTTTTTTTCTCAGAGAGAGAGAAAGAGTGAGTGAGGGGAGAGGGGCAGAGAGAGGGAGAGAGAGGAACTTAAGCAAGCTCCATGCTCACCATGGAACCCAACACGGGCTTGATCCCATTACCCTGAGATCAACAGACTGAGCCCCCCAGGAGCCCCCTGTTTAGATGCTCAACAGAACGAGCCCACTATGTGCTCCCGTTTAGAGTTTTCCAAGGACAGCCGCCACCCACCTGCCCCCCACCCTGGGCGGCCTGGAGCTGGGCCCCTGCACCCCTGCTACGCCCGTGTCTGCGCACACACTTCCCTGCCCCCCACCCTGGGCGGCCGGAGGTGGGCCCCTACACCCCCACTTCACCCCCCTGGCTGCACGCACACTTCCCTGCCCCCCACCCTGGGCAGCTGGAGCTGGGCCCCTGCACCCCCACTTCACCCCCCTGGCTGCGCGCACACTTCCCTGCCCCCCACCCTGGGCAGCTGGAGCTGGGCCCCTGCGCCCCCCTTCGCCCCCTGCTGTGTGCTCACTTCTGTTCCAGGATCACAACCCTTTTGTTCACTCGTCCCGCTTCGCCGTGTTTTCAGCGCACTTTACGCCCCGTCCCGCCCCTGGCCGTTCACAGGACATCCCTCCTCCTTAGAATCACGGATGCTGGGGTCTCAGCGTATGACAGCGAGGACAGGCCCGACTCCCTGGTTCTGGACGCCGTGCCCACTGCCAGAGGCCCTCTCCCTCCGCAGCCGGACTGCAGGAGGAGGTGGGGTGCTCGGAGCGGGCCTCACCTCGCCACCCAGCCAACGCCCTGGTGAGCGGAGGGGACGCCGGGCTGGTGAAGAGGGTGGCTGCCCTGCGTCTCTGTACAGAGTTCCTGACGGCAGGTGTGAGGGTCGGCTTGTCCCCTGGAGCCGCCGTCCTGACCACGCACTGCCCAGGACACGGCCGGGCGTCCCATTCCCTTGGCAGTTTCCTTTTGCAAAGTCTGCTGTGACCCCACGAGAAGCCACGAGGCTCCAGGTGCTGGTCCCGTGGCTGAGCAGGAGGCCTGCCCTGTGTCTCCCCGAGGACGGACAAGCCAGCTGCTGACTCTCACCCTCACCTTCTGGGACAGCGACGTGACAGTTGTACACAATCGTGCACCGTGAGCACTTGCTCCGCGCTCCCCGGAACATGGTCGGCCTGCACCCACCTCTCCCGACGTCTGAAAAACTTCTCCTTGGGATAAAGAGGTGAGGGGGGCGTCTCTTCCAGGGGACACCCCCATCCCCTCTTGGGCTCTGCTTAGCACAGTCCCCAAAACTGGGGGGGCTCTAGAGTCCACTGGTGAACAGAACTAGGCTGTCAGGACCCTACATAAGGACAACACCGGGTGCCTGGGGGGCTCAGTCGGTTAAGCTTATGACTCTTGATTTCGGCTCAGATCATGACCTTACTGTTCGTGAGTTTGAGCCCCCGTTGGGCTCTAAGCTGACAATGTGGAGCCTGCTTGAGATCCTCTCTCTCTCCCTCCTGCCCGTCCCCTGCTTGTGCATGTGTGTGTTCTCTCTTTCTCAAAATAAATAAAAAACAAAACAAAACAAAAGAAAGAAAACACCTTGTCTGTGACGAAAGGGAAATCCATTTTGCCGTCAACCCACTCAGGCTGTAAGGAGCCCCCCAAGGCCATAGGGGCGGGAGGCTGCAACGGCTCTGCGGACACCAGTCCCAACTCACAGCGCCGGCGAAGACTTTCAGTCACCCCACAACAAAGCACGCAAGTTTATGAAATAACTTCACAAGGTCTGTTTGTGTAACCAATTCACGGAGTCCCGAGGATGCCTGCACACATCCATGGGCTCCAGCCTGCAGGCCGCTGGCTGGGAGAGCAGACGTTAACACCAACATGTCACAGGTGACGGGACGAACTGGGGAAAGCAGGTGCACATCCCGCTCGGGGCTCTTCTGGGGACGAGGCATGCGCAGCTCCCGGGGCCCACGGACGGCGGCCACGCCGGCAGCTCCAGGCAGGTTGCTAGGCAGTGACGCCCACACTCTGTCTCCGCCACTGAATAACAGACCAAAGTCTCTGGGGCTGGGATTCAGAGCACAGTCATTCCAGCAGCAGGAGAGTCACATGCTGTCCAGGGAGCGCAATCATCCCTACCTCAAAATATCTGAGGCATGACACATGCAAGAGACTCAGAAGGAACAAAAGCCACGTGGGCGAATCGGAAGCTTTTCTGTAAAAACCCTGAGCCACGGCACAGGCCCGCTGCACTGTGACTTGTGGACGGGACACGGTTTTATCTGCATGAAAACTAGCCACATGGACCAGCTCACTTCCCGGCCCCAACAATAGACTGCCCTCAATCCTGGGTGAGTCTGGACCTGGCGGGATGATTCCGCATTGCAGAACACGCATGCCAGGGCCTTGTTCCCTGCCCGCACCTCTGGAACTCAGGAGCCCAGATCCACTGCCCGGAAGCCTGAAATCACCCCAGAGAAGTGGGACTTGAGTTCAGTCTTCTAACACACAGGGGGTTCACAGACTTTAATCTGTTAAAAAAAATTATCTTTAATCTAGAAGGCATTTAAAACACTGCATGCATTTACTCCACACCGGTCTTTTCAGAGCTTAGAGCAAAAACGGAAATCCCCTCGTGGACAGGGAAGCCACGGGACTGAGGTCCACACAGCAAAGCTGTAAGCCTAAACCAGGAGCCAAGCAAATACCCACTCCCACAGACGTCCGTGTGGGGCCCCCTGAACGAGCCCCCCGCCTCTAGGCGGTGTCTGTCCACAGGGCACTGCCAAGGTGATGCCCACTGTCCATGTAACGGGGGTGAGCTGTACCGTAGGGGACACCATGATAAAAACATTAATGCCGAAACAAGCAACATGTGCAACACAGAACTGACATCACTAAATGTCAGTGTCAGGAAACCGGGACACCAGGGTGGGAGGTGACCCTGCAAGGCACCCTTCCCAGGACTCCAGGGCCGCGAACACTGCTTCCTGGAGGCCTTCCCATCTGGAAAGCTGCAACCAGGAAATTCCCAAGCAAACCCTTCTATGGCCACAATCTGTTAATGATGGCAGATTCCTCCATGGACAGACAGGCACGTTATCTCCTTCTCCCAGAGACGCTGGTGTTACCTAAACGTTACCAGTGACCATCATTCTGTTCTTCGTTGTTCCAAGAAACAGACAGTTTACTGAGTAATTAGCGGTGATTCTGTTTTCCTTCTCTGACCCAATGCTTCATTCTCCTGGTGTCCAACCGCACGTGTAACAGAAGCCACGAGAGCAAGAGGGTCATAGGACAAAGGTGGAACCAGGGCCCCCCCGCCCCGAAGCAGCATCTCAGGGTCCGAAGTCCACGCGGCACCACACTGACCCATCTTCGAGCCCTCCTGCAAGACGCAGCAATCCCTAGGGTGTCTGGTGGCTCAATCGGTTGAGCATCTGACTTCGGCTCAGGTCACGATCTTACAGCTCATGGGTTCGAGCCAAGTGTAGGGCTCTGTGCTGACAGCTCAGAGCCTGGAACCTGCTTTGGATTCTGCGTCTTCCTCTCTCTCTGCCTCTCCCTCATTCATGCTCTATCTCTCGTTCAAAATAAGTACTTTTAAAAAGCATTAATATTTAATATAAAGATTCATTCCATGTATAAAAAGGCTTACTGAAAGTCCCTGTTCACTGTATTTTATGTGCTCCACAACTCAGGCAGAGGCCAGCAAGGGAGTGAAACTCAGCCAGGCTTTATTTGGATTGGGAGGCCATGGGGGGAGAAGAAAGTCATGAATACTATGCTAAGTCCAAAATCCACAGTCCAAAACACCGTTTAGTAATAAATATTACACAACAGTTGAAGCATTGCCAAAGTTACCAGGACATCCTTGGCTCATCTCACCTCGTCAGGCACACAGCCCAGCAACCCCTCCACGAGGAGCCTGGGGAAGAGAGAAAGGCCTTCCCGAGCTGGTCCGTGCAGAGCCAAGCCTGAAACCCAGGTCCACACACTCGAGGACGTCCTGTGTGGCAACTCGGTACACACCCAGGAGACAGGAACCAGAGCCCTAACTGCTTACGTGGGAAATGCAGAACACACCAGAAATCAAGCCTGGGGAGACTGAACGTGCCCACGTGATGGGGCTTCCCCACAAGCCCACAGGGTGCATACCGGTGGAGACAAGCTCAAAGATGAGGGTCCCATGGGCTTCTGTCTATGCTTGCCAGCCAACATAAAATACAGGCACCAAAGACGATATCAGCCAAAAGCCTGACCATCTACCTGGGTCCTTGGATTCATGGTGAGGCCAAGGAAACAGTGTCTATTAGGTCGGTGTGGAGGCCAGCCCCACGACACACAAGCACGTTAGTAAAAGTGTCACTTACTTGGCTTAGCGTTGGCAACGACCGCCAGGCTCTCAGGTGGGCATACCGGGGGACACCTGTTTTCCCCAGCGCCTGCATTATTGCCGTACTCTATCACTTCTACGTGGCCGAGAGGAACACTCCACTTTAACAGGTACCTTTGGCTGGTAGACATGATCGTGCTGCTGTCCGAGGTGCTGAAAGAGGGTTATTTTATGATTAATTACATGCATAAGTCATGACATTGTTCATCTCTCAGATACTCAAGGAAGTAACATCTGCCGTCATCAAAACATCCTACTTCTGACCTTCTTACAGTTACCACTTGGTTCCAGAACGATGCCTCCCATTAGACGAGAGGGCAGGGACTCCTCACTGTCTAACCCAGGCAAATGGGAGAACAAGGGGCATTCATGTCCCAGAAAGCTCTGTTTCCCGCAAAAGCTTAGAGGGAATGAGCTGGATGATCCCTGATGACTCTTTGAGCAAAGATGCTCGTGAATTCTGGCAAATACTGCTAACGGGAAAGATCTATGTGCAGAGAGATACTCTCTGGTCATTTCATTCCAGTCAAGCTTAAAAGTTCCTGGTACGCTTGCTTGTAGTATAACCATTTTAATAAAATTAAATCATGTCATTATACTCCATGTTTAAAATACTTATTTACTGTGGGGGCACCTGGGTGGCTCAGTCAGTTGAGCACCTGACTTCAGCTCAGATCATGATCTTCGGGTTCAGGGATTTGAGCCCCGCGTCAAGCTCTGTGAGCCTGCAGCCTGGAGCCTGCTTCAAATTCTGTGTTTCCCTCTCTCTCTGTCCCTTCCTTGCTAGTTGTCTGTGTGTCTCTCTCTCAAAAATAAACAGTAAAAAATTTTTTACTTATTGACGATATAGAAATTAAATGAAAAAACAATATCCCATGACCTACATAGCTTTTCTTCTTTGAACATAAAATGAAGGATGCATGCAGAGAAACACATGCATACCCATTCACTCAGGAGGGAATGCTAGTGCAGACACCTGTGTGACCACCACCCATCCAGGCTGTAGGGCTGCCAGCACCCTGAGGCCCTCCTGTGACCAAGAAAGCCTCACCCCTCTGGAAGCAATCAGTGTTCTTACTCCCAGTGATAATCAGTTTGCTTTGAGATTTTTTTTTTCAGTCAATGTAGACAGGAATAACCAAAATGTCAGACAGCATGCTTTACACTGAAGTCCTTGACGTGGTGGAAGTCAACTGGTAGCCAAGCTCCTGGACTCCTCTCCGCTATGAGAGTATGCTTTTCAACTTGCAGTCCACGGGGGAAGGGGGAGGAGGCAGAGCTCAGACACTGGTGAGAAAGCAGAGACTGTGCATTCTATGAATCAGAAGTGATTTATATTTAAAAATGGAGAGGTTCGTGAACTTGACCTCTAATTTCCACTCATCGTGTTTGAATAAAAAAATCTTCACTCCTACAGAAGTTTGGGATCTTGATGTTCTGAGGTTATCAAGGGGCCTCCTGGGGCTGTGTTACTGTCTCATCCAGAGCAAAGGGTCCTCCCTTCACCACCTTCCGGGAGAGTCGGTGACAACAAGTCAATGGGAACTGAACGGTTCCTCTTTACTGACTTAGTAAAAAGGTGTGAAAACCCGGGACCCATGCCACAGCCCAGGGCATTATTCTAAGAAACAGACCTGGTAGTGAGCACAGCTAAATCCATTCTTAAGGATTCATCCATTTCTCATTCACTTTGAGATTTTTAAAATGACATAAAATGTCAAAAGAACCAAACGGCTGCGGATCCTTTGGTGGACCACGCACCTGGGCTGCCCACGCGACGCTGCCTGATGCCACGTGGCGGGAGGCCCTCCCACGGCATTCAGACAAAGGCTGCTTAGGGACAGCAGATGCGCTGGACAAGAAGCACCCACACCTGCACTGTGCTGAGCTGCCTACAGTCACTTCACTGCGTGGCCTCACCTTCCACGCCTGCAGCCCCCGGGGCAGGCGGGGCGTCTGGGGCAGCCTTGCCCAGCGCTGCTGAGGGGAAAGCCGACTGGCTTCACCTGGAGATGGGGGAGGGGGTGCTCCTCGGACAGTTAAGCCTGAGAACCAATCTGCAAACTATATGCCACTAGCTTGCATGTCGTAGGATGGGGAATCAGGAGTAGAAAGGTCTCCCGGGGGAGATGCACTCTGCAAGCCTCTCCGGAGCATCCGGACTCGGCACACACTTTGGGAAGCACGGACGCCACTGGCCACTCCTTCCTACGCACGGGCAAAGGCAGTGACAAAACCACGCCAAGCGTGGCTGTGTCCAGAGGTCAAAGTGTGGGCATGGCAAATTCAATGATAAAGCCTGGGCCGCTGATAGGAATCAAGCAAACAGGATTCTTGACAAAGGAGGTGGTCACTTAAAATTGGTAGATTTTCCAGGGGTGCCTGGGCGGCTCAGTCAGTTAAGTGCCCGACTCTTGTTTTCGGTTCAGGTCATTATCTCATGGTTCTGTAAGTTCAAACCCCACATCAGGCTCTGTGCTGGCAACACGAAGCCTGCTCGGGATGCTCTCTCTCTCTCTCTGGCTTGCTTGCTCGCTCTGCCCCTCCCCCACTCTACTGTCTCTGTCAAAATACAAAATAAATAAACTTAAAAATAAAATAAGATAAAATTGGTATATTTTCTAGGCCTATCTCACAGCTGCCCAAAACAAGCACAGCCGAGGAGGAGCTATAACAAAAGCCATGATTACTGGGCAGCACCATGCCCAGCGCTGAGTTGAGGGTCTGAGGAAGGTCCTGTGCTGGACCCACACGGAGGTCCCAGGGAGTGCTGGCTTCCCCACCGTTTTGAGCACAGGTGTGAGGCTCAGGGAGGTCAGGTGATTCCCAAAGTCCCGGAAGCAGGGGCTGGATTCGGGCTGCGTAGCGTGAGCTCCTAGAGACTCACGTCTGGCCGCCCGTGGGGGGCCCCCTCAGCCGTGTGCTCCTGGCTCCCGCTGGGAGGGGAAGGCCTCGCTGTCCCCCGGCCATTCTCCCTGCTATAAAACACACACGGTGGACGACATCAAGCTGGCAACCGCATCCCAAGTCCCTGAGAGCGAACAGCAAACCCTCTTAAGCCATGTGAGCTGGCTCAGGGCCTTGGCATGTACAACTTTACAAAGTGCCGGAGCATTCAGCTCAAATTACGCCGTTCTACCCTAGCTCCCTTACAGCCCACGTCTACGTGCGACTTCTCAGAGCTCATCAGCCAGCTGTAATGTTCCAGGTGTGGGCAAGCAGGGTTTTTAATGTTCATTTATTTTTCAGAGAGAGATACAGAGAGAGAGAGAGAGAGAGAAAGAGAGAGAGAGAGAAAGAGAAAGCAGAGGAGGGGCAGAGAGAGAGGGAGACAAAGAATCCAAAGCAGCTCCAGGCTCTGAGCTGTCAGCACAAAGCCCGATGTGGGACTTGAACCCACGGACCTCGAGATCATGACCTGAGCTGAAGTCGAACACTCAACCAACTAAGCCACCCGGGCGCCCCAACCATGGGCCCCTTTCACCCTAAGCTTGTTTGGGACCTGGCCCCCTGCAATCACAGGAGAGGGAAAGAAGACGTGCACAGACCAGTGCAGCATGAACGGGAGTGATCCTGAGTCACCAGCTCAGCTGGGACGCACCCCATGCGAGTGTGGACACCCAGTGGCCACGGCGGGCACTCACCGTGCACTGACTGTGGCACACATCAACACATCGCTCAGCATGAAGATCCGGCGCTCCTTGGTCTTAACGATCTCTCCTCTGTCGTTGTAGACGGTTTCGATCATATCGTCAGACCGCACGAGGTACCGGTTCCCGCTGCTGAGAAGCTGAACATGCAAGGTCACACTTGACACGGTCCCCACAATCAAGTTCATCAAAAGAAGAAAAAAGGTGAGCAAAGGTCTTGCAAAATACAGGCATATAAAGTGTCAGCGTTTATACATTTTTCCTCATGGAGAATCCAGATACTTCCAGGCTCAGCTTATGTGTACACTATGAAGAGTTCAGAGAGTCGCTTTTTTTTTTTTTAACGGAATAGTTATACTGAGAGTGTCTGTGGTTTTCCTGAACAGCGAGAGGAGCCTAACCCTGCCCTTGTAAACACTGTGCCCCAGCAAGGAGGGCTCATTTGTGTCCACCCGGCATTCGTCACATTCCTCCCCTTTAGGTGCCATGCCCGCATATCTGCTCTGTCCCTCACATACTGGGGCCATCCACACCTGGCCCCCTCTCTGTTATTTACAACACCATGTCACCGAGAACGTCTGTAAGTGCAAGAGTTACTCGGCAGTCTTCCTTTTCCCAGGATAACATAATTAAGAAAACATCTTTGCATCTTGTGATGCGCCATGTTTTCTTTCATGAGCCAAACATAATACCCTTGGTCCTGTGGAGAGATGTTTTGTTATTAGTAAAATGAGGTAAGTCATATAAAAATCAGACTTATTATAACAACTTGGCCCCAAAGGACATCTGGAATCCTCAGCTCAGATGATACGTAGTGTGTTTGGATTGTAAATCCGCAGTGGCCGAGCTGTTTACCTATTCCTGACGTGCTTACAGGGGTAATGGCGCTGTGTGCACAGGTGCGGAGTCGGTGGTGAGTGGCCCAGCACTGACTGCTTCCTCGTTTGCCCGGGCTTACCCTGTGCCACACAGCTTCGCAAACACTCTGGGACCACAAGTGAGCATGAATCCAAACAATGAAAACTATCATTTAATGTGATTTTTGACTCCTAGAAATTCCTACATTAGAAAATCATAAAAATGCATTCCTTAAAATGTAATATGGTACAATTCTCAGAGTTAAACTACTGAGTGTCACTATCTGGTCAGAAATTACCCCTAATGACAAAAGTGAAAGGTGACGTTAGCAGCGATGCATACGACAGATAATTACTTAACGCAGCTCCCGTCAATAATCCCCTCTTGTGGGCCAGAGCCACAAAAAACTATGGTGTGGCCCCCAAAAAGCCAGTTCACTGTTGCAGGGAAAAGACTTGTGAACATAAAGAGGAAATAGAGCCCTGCCCAGGAACTGTTTCCTGCCATATTTTGTCCCATTTCCATGATAAACACAGCTTAGCGCATGCACAGACGGGTGCAGGTGAGAATGTATGCAACACTTTCTGATTTTATTGCGACCATCTAAAAGGAAATACCACGTTCTGGCAGTAAGATTCAGCTCCAAGAGCTGATGGGACCCTCCATGGGGGTCCTGGACCCGTCTGCAGGTCTAATGACCATGGGAGCCCCTTCCCCAAGGAAATGTGCCATGACCCGCCCCACACTCTCCACCGACTCCCAAGGCAGGGCTCTGGGCCTGGGAGTCACTGCAAAGCGTCCACGAGGTTAGTAGCAAGCGGCTGAAATACAGACGGCTTGTTAGTGCAAAGCAAACCGGAGCCCAGCCCAGTCCAGGCCGCCTTGGTCAACCTTGTTCAGGTATCTCTCGTTTATGGCTTTGGCGACGTGCTTGATTTCACAGCGCTGGTCGGCGTCTCTTTTCCTCTCGTTTAGCTTCTCCGCTAACGTCTCCAGCTCCGTCAGCGCCATCTGAAGGGGCAGCCGGTCGGGGTGTCCTTTGGACGTATTCTTCAGCATGTCCTTGGAGAGAAGACACACGGTGAGAAGGGGACACGTGCTTGCCGCTGTGGGGGCGCCAACGGTGGCACGCGTGAGCTTCCGGCTGACACCCGTGTTGCTTGCCAGCTGGCAGCGCCTCAGCTACTTGGGGGGAATAACACGCGCACGGGGACGAGGATGACAAGCCAGACGACTCACCGTTTGCCTAAACACTGGAATGGCTCCTTTTGCAAAAACAAGCTTATCCAATGGCTTTGCTAATGGAAAAAACCAGTGTTTTCCAATAAAGGGCACTGTAAACACAAGCCCGCCACATCTTAGGAACGCCCGTCCCCCTGCAACGCTCTTCAAGGTTACTGCTGGCCTGTTTCTCTCAACCCGAGTCGGACCGATGGCGCCCAGCCCCCACGCGGGTCCAGCTAGCTTCGACAGGTCTGTTCCCAAATGCCAAGTGGGCAGCGCTGCGAGTGCGCCCCGGCTTCCCCGCACACAGCAGGCTCTTGCTTCACCCTGGGCGCCCCACCCCTGCTGAGGGGCCGGACACCTCTGTCCGCGTCCACAGGGCCACAAAGGGATGAGGATGCACGGCGGGGAGTGACAACATGGCCACCAACAGAATGACGCCACTGCGTCAAACACGGAGGCGGCTTTCAAGAGCGACATCTAAGTGACAGTCACGATTCTGTCACCTTGGTTTCACACAGGGCCCTACTGTTCCCCGGCGTGCTCGCACAGACGGCGCGCTGACCTCTGCTGGAGGCAGCCGTGTGCGGAAGCGCCCCTCTGGGAGCCAGCCGGGCCCTCCGCCGGCCTCCTGATGCCAACGCCCACTTCACCCGCGCTCGAATTCAACGCACCCTCGTCTTCTAAACCTGCTTTTTGTTCTTTATCGGAAAAAACAAAACGCGGCACGACTGATGTAATGCGTCCGGTCTGAACGAACAGCATGTGCTGAGCCATACATCTGACTCCCTGCGAGTCGCATCAAACCCTGGCAAGGACTGTAAACAGGCGCGCGGTGGGTTCTGGCTCCACCGCCACCTGCTGGCTGTGTCGGCCTGCTGTCTGAGTGCCATCAGGACACGCTGCAGGCAGGACCCGCCAGATGCCAGCACGGAACCACGTGAGGGGAGAGGGACGTCTGTTGTCTTCTCCTGTCTCCTGACTCATGTGGGGACAACGCGGGACAGAAGGCGGGAGCGGGATACGTGACAGGATCCAGGAGGACCACGGATCAGAACCCGCGGGCTCAGGAGAGGTGGGGGTCAGCGAGGGGGAGGGCAGGGTGCTGATGGGGCACAGGAAGGCCAGGAGGCATGCCAGTCCCCAGGCCGTCCCTCCCGCACGCTGACAGGAACTCGGGAGGGAGGGAGGGACGGCACTGGCCACTGTCCTCCTGTCCTGGGCACAGAGGGTGGACTGTTTCCCCTCCGACCCTGGACCTGACCTTGACTTGGCAGAAGAGGGTGGATTCCTTTCCGCCCCGGGTAGTCCAGCCCCCTCCTCTGCGCACGGGAACGCTGGCGAGGTCTGGGGCCATGTCTATGCTGGCTCACTGGCTCGGGGCCCCCCACTGCCCCCCACTGTGTTCTCAGGACCCCCCACTGTGTCTTCGGGGTCCCGCCTCCCCTCTCTGCACCCTCACCTGCAGCAGGAGGATGAATTGTGGGAACCGCTGGATCGGCTTCATCATCAGACTGTAGAGTGTGACGCGGTCGGGGCTGCACTCCTGGCACTGCTATGGGGAGAAGGCTCCGTGACGCGCACTGCGGGGCCCCCACGGGGGCTGGGGCTGCCCTCCCACCTGGCACAGACACCTCGGCAAGGCACCGGCCAGCTGCCTGGAGCACATGCCCCGACTTCACTAAGGGTGGCTTCTGACCGCCCCCACCTCCTACACCAGCAAAGGCGAGCCCCTGGCGTTGAAGTCTGAGCCTGCTGTGACTAGATTCCCAACCAACACCTCCTGTTTTGCCATTTGATGCTTTCAGGACCACCTCTGGGGGCGCCGGGGGCTCAGCTGGGTTAGTGTCAGACTCTGTTTCGGCTCAGGTCACAATCTGTTTTGTGAGTTCGAGTCCCGCATCTGTGCTGAGCACAGAGCCTGCTTGGGATTCCCTCTCTCTCTTTCTTTCTCTCTCTCTCCCCCCACCCCGACCCTCCCCCTCCAAGATAAATAAACTTAAAAAAAAAAAAGAGCCACCTCTAATGAATGCCAGGCAGCGTTTTTCTGTTTACGAATTCATTACTCTACTAAGCACTGAGTTTGTTTCTGGGACCCTGCAATCGCCTGAGAAGTGCACTTACGGAAACAGAAGAAAAGAAAATCACAGAATCCCATCTGGAGTCACAGGGACCCTTAATGGTAGCCTGCCGCACGCACCAGGGCGAGACCTCTGTGGTGGCCATGGCCCCTCCCGCGTTCGGGCCCGACCTCCCTACTTAAGGCTCAGCTCTGGGTGTGAGGGTCATGGGGGTGGGGGTGCCCCTGGGTCCGTCCTGTCTGAGCTGCCCCTGCTGAGGGCTGCCTAGTCCCCAGACCCGCCTCCCAGCCTGGGACGGACGCTCCACCAGGCGGGACATCTACAGACCTGGGTGGGCCCTCCAGCTCTCTCCAGCTGAGGACTCAGCCCCCTCCCCCAACACCAGTTCCCGGGCTGACCAGGCCACCAGACAGCGGGGGCGGCAGCTCGCTCCCCTGCTGATGTGTCAGGTACGGTCCCCAAGACAGCTTCAGCCTCCTCCAAGGAAGGAAGTGTTTGAATGGCCTGTGTTTTCTTCCCCGCAGAAGAAATGCCATGGTGTGGAAAGACCACCGGGCCCCAAGGCCCCAGGGCTGGCAGCTGATTTAATCCCTCAGCAAACTGTGACTGGAGAAGGAGGGGAATAATTCAGCCTCGATCAAACTGTGGTTGGCGAGAGTAGTTTCCGTGTCTGCTCACTGCCGGGCAGCCTGAGCTTAGAGAATACGGTTCAAGTAACACGAAGAAACTCTGGCTCCACTGTTAAGATGGGAATTGGAGCCTCGTGCAGGCGAGGTCCGGGCTGGGTGTCAGGGCTGGGTGGCCGTCCAGGCCGGGTGGCAGTCCGGGCTGGGTGGCTGGCCACCGTGAGCGTCTGGCAGGGACCCTGGCTGGCTGTGCACTAAATACCCCGGTCAACGTCCCCAGTGGGAACTCCACGATGTCCAAGGCAGACGTGCCCAGAGAGGGTAGGCCTCTCCGCCCAGCCCCAGAGCCCCATGGGGGCTCATCCTCAGGAGTCGGCTTGTTGCTCTGGCCTGAAGTGGGGTGGGGGGCTCCACCAGATCCAGAATGTTCTTCCATCTGCTGCTCCTGATACCACACTCAAGGACGGGAAGCCAAAGGCCCGCTTACTGGGGATCTGAACTGACTATTCACGTCTATGAATTTACGAGGATGTGCAGCTGAAGGCTGTCTTCAAAAAGCCGTGGCACCGCGGAAACTTCATCTCTGTTTCTAGCACTGACCCAACATTCTGGCGCCAAAATCTTTGTAAGTACCGTTATGCGTTGAGAGGCAACGTTTGGTAAAATTTCACTGTGAAGTATTTTCAGGTGGCACCTGTCATCAGAAGGTGTTAGAGCCTAAACGAAGTGGCAGTGAGTGCTTACCTTTAAAAATTCAAGGAACGCGGGCTTTGTGGCACACGTTTTCTTGAGGATCGCCACGGCCGTGCTGAAGTTATTCACATACTCACTATAGGCGTCCAGCACCATGGACTTGGAAAACTGAAACACCAGAGAAAATTGAGAAATATCAGGAATGCATACAACCCAGACCCTCCCTCTTCTGAGACAGGATAAAAGATTTGAAATCTTGCCTAAAAACCACCTCAGGCAGCGTGAGGTTTCCACAGGACATGCTTCGTTACCACTGTGTGTGATTTTCTCCCCTTCTTTCAGCACACTCACTAGGAACTATTTAAACAGCCGATCTTACTTTGCTCCCCCAGCCCACAGTGCACTTGTAGGCAACCTGGTCCACGTCCCCGGCGGGCTGGTGCCCAGGGGAGAGGAGCTCCTGGCCATGGGCTGTGGGATGATCGCTTCAGACCCCTTCTGTAAGTCCCTGCCCATCCTCACTGCGAGTTTCCCCTGCGGGAAAGACTGTCACACAGGCCCCAGTGTCCTGACAAGCTGGCACCGACTGTCCCCTGGAAACACTCCAGGGGAGGAAGAAAACCAATCCCCTCCTGCCCTTCTGGCTAAGGACAGGGCCACGTCCGTCCGTCCGTCCACTGTCCTGATTTCCTAGAAACACCAGGAGGCAGAGCCACGGGCTTCCCCCCGGTGCTGTTCTGAGATCCTGCCAATTCTCAACATGAACAGCAAAACCCCAGGACCCACAGCGGGTGTCTGGTGTGACCGTCACTTACGGGAAAACGCTTTCACCTAAATTTTACATATATATTTTTTTAAGCTTTCTTTTTCCCTTTTAAAAAAAGTTCTCAAGATAAATATTTTAAAAGACACACAGAGTAAATAAATGTTTATACTAAATGCATAAAATAGCCAGAAAATGCAAGAATAAAGTAAATATCCACCGTTTCTTTTTTGTTTCTCGTAAAGACCCCTGAAAGGGATCCTACACACATCTCAGGAAAAGGTCTTGTTTCCGTGTTCAAGGCATCCTGTCACTTACGTGCTTCCGTAATTTATACACGTCATCAAGGACACACAATCGTGTAGAAAAAGCAAAAGGTCTCTTCCGTGGTTACCACGGCTTTCACGTAAGCGTCTGAGCACCGAGCCCTCGGGCGCTGCGGGCACCTGCCTCCCCGACCTGCCTCCCCGCAGCTCGAGGCCCCGTTCTCCCGCCCACACTCTCCAGGTCTGGAGCCCACTTCCTAACGCACGACACGTACAGGCGCAAAGGGACCGAAGAGAAAAGCGCCGGATGCAGATCCGAGGCTGGCGGTTTAGGCAGCGCACTGCTCCCCCTCCCAGGAGAGGCTCATGCGCCCCGCGTCCCCACATCCCGTGTCAGCGGAGGCCCGGCCGCGGCGTCTGCACAACCGACCCCAGGTCACAGAGGACAATCTTCAGGGAAACCTGCCAGCGCTTTCCCCAGGGCGTTTCCCAACCCCAGACAGGGCCAGGGCACAGGCGAGACGCAGCTGTCGGGGGGGCTGAGCGGGACGCTGTCAGCAGAGCCACAGGAAGCACGTCCAGTGGCCTGCTGGCGCTCAGTATGCAGCTTGCGGCATTCCAGACGGACCGCCCCCAGCGCCCTTGGCCTTCCTGACCCTTCCCCGTCCCGTGTGCTGGGCAGAGCACGCGGACCTCACTGTGGCCCTGCGGGCACCCGGCTCCCTGCCGACCCCGACGTCTGGCGTGACACATCTGCGTTCGGTGGGAAGGAACGCGGCTCGGGAGCCCAGGACAGCGTGGCGCGGTCGGGCGCCCCAGGAATTACCGAAGCCACGAAGACGTCGCCGATGGTCTCCACGGAGTCCCACTCGGCCACACGGCTGGCCAGCGCGATCTGGAACATGGCGTGGCACTGCAGCAGCTCCTTGACCCGGTAGAACACCACCTTCAGCTTCCTCTCGCTCAGGACCTTGGGCTCCATCTCCGACAGCGGCTTCTCGTACTGCTAACAAGACACGGGAAGGCGGCGTGCCTGAGAATACGGACATTCGCTCACGGCAGTTACAGTGCACGACAAATCACGGGATTGCCTGCCAACATGTGGACACGGTACTCACAATCTCCTGAGAACTCTGCAAAAGTGATTATGTCGCGGTTCATATTTACCCACAAGCACACACACACACTTGCAAGACAGGGGTAAAGCCCGTGTCTACTGTGTAACACGCGGCGTTGCAGTACCTCCAAAATCCTCTTTAGAGCATCCACATAGTTCTTCTCACTGTCCACAACGGAACCCAGAATGTATCTTCGTACCACCTGTGGGCGATTTGAAAATACAACGGTAGCAAACTGCAGCAGAAAACGAACAGAGGAAGTTTGCTTCTTGTTGATTAAAGATGCTGCTAGTTCTGTTTTCTGTCTTCAAAACAGTAGGTGAATGAAACTTCCAAAGGCCTTTAAATACTTCAAATATGTGTTAACTAACATTACAGGACAAAACATACTTGTCCCATTGTTACAATTATGAAATGTTTTATTGTTTAAAAAATTTTTTAATGTTTATTTATTTTTTTTTAATTTTTTTTAATGTTTTATTTATTTCTAGGAGAGAGAGAGAGAGAGAGACAGCATGAGCAGGGGAGGGTCAGAGAGAGAGGGAGGTCACAGACTGAAACAGGCTCCAGGCTCTGAGCTGGCAGTCGGCACAGAGCCCGATGCGGGGCTCGAACCCACGAACCGCGAGATCATGACCTGAGCGAAAGTCGGACGCTTAACCGACTAAGCCACCCAGGCGCCCCTCTAATGTTTATTTTTGAAAGAGAGAGAGGGAGAGAGAGAGAGAGAGAGAGAGAGCGAACGCACAAGCAGGGGAGGGGCAGAGAGAGAGGGAGACACAGAATCTGAAACAGGCTCCAGGCCCTGAGCTGTCAGCACAGAGCCCGACGTGGGGCTCAAATCCACGAACTAGGAGATCATGACCTGAGCCGAAGTTGGACGCTCAACCAACCGAGCCACCCAGGAGCCCCCAATAATGAAATATTTTAAACCACAAATTATAAACAATAAATACTGCAGGACACGTGAAATTGCAGTGGTAACGACAAACGCATTCACCTATGCAACAATTCTAAGCTAAATGAATGGTGCTTCGTGTGCCCTATGCCGGCTTACGTGTTACTTCCCGTATAAATTAAGTAGAAGAAAACCAATTCCAGTCTTGACTCAAAGAATGCGATTACCAACATTTATCTAATAAAATTATTATTCTGAAGTCGTAGAAGAAAAAGCTCTTGAAAGATAAAAGAGATTTTTCTTTCTTTTGGGTAAGAGATTTTGACCAGGCAAAGACACACCTACGAGGCTTAGAGCACAGTGAGTGAAGTGACCCTCCACGGTCCTGGACAAGCCACCTCACAGGGACATCACTGTTGTCACTACCCAGGGCCATACACAGACAAACGTCAGGCTGCATGATTCCTGGTAAGGGCCAATGTCGACGCCTGGCACCCGCATCAAGCCTCAACAAATTATTTTTGCCAGTAAATGGAAAAGAGAGCACCAAATTTCAGGATGGCTGCCCCTCGACCACACACACCCGGAACAGCCCGGGGACCCAGAGCAGGGAGTCAGCGCTCACCACAGGAGCCACACCGCCACCCAGTGGGTGCACAGGGCACCTGCCACAGGGGAAAGTCCTCAGTCCAGAACATTCCAGGGCCACCGAGTCGTCCAAAACATGAATGGAGAGCGGCGGGCAGCGGGCACAGGGCGCATGGGGCCACGGCAGAAAGGGCCCCACTGCACCCCACGGGGATCACGGCCACGTTGCCCGGGGAGCCCCACACAGTGGAGGATTTACGGCCAATCTGACTGACCTAGACTTGGAGGATTGTGGGTTTGGGGATCAGAGATGTGGCTGAGATGTCGGGCCCTACCCGCCCACAGCAGCTGCCGTCCCCGCCTCGCCGGGGCCACAGCGCCCTCCCAGAGGGACGTGCGGGGGTTTCCTGAGGTCCAGAGCGCCGGGGGGGCGGGGGGGACAGATGCCAGTGGTGGCTACAGAGCATCTCTGTCACTAGGTCGAGTGCTCTTTTGCTCCCGACAGGCTCACACATCAGCCTCCCCCGCGACACGTTTCCTCATCCCGCAGCCCTGCTGCTGGGCTCCCCTTCATCTCAAAGCTTCACCTGGAAGCCCGAGGCTTCCGGGTCTGGACGACGGTGACGAACAGCCCCGAGGCCCCCTCCCAGCTCAGCTCCCTTTCCTCAGACTTTGACCTTACCACCTGCACCGGCTGCGCACGCCCCTCCGCCTCCGTTCTGCACGCCCATACGTGTCCACTTGCCTGTGCCCACGACGTGAGTCACGCTGTGCACACACACAACGCCCCCGAGAGCCCCTCCCTGACCTCACACTGCCCTGAGGCCCATTTCCCGTTACCCAAAGATAATCCAGTGGACACCACCGAATTTCTCTTCCCTCTGCTACCCATTTCCAGACACTGAGAAACTCCTTTATGCTGCAATATTTGCATTAGTTGCCGGAAATGTGTTTCAGGTGTCCGGGATGCTCCGCACAGTTTACTGAAACACACACAGTGTCCCTCAGTAAAAGTGGTGCAGATGGCGTCCACACACAGGGCAGTTCCATACACTTCTCACGCTTACTCAGGGCGGGTACTCGAAATACTCGGGAACTAGAGAGCCCGTGTCCAGGCTGCGGCTGCTGACGGGGCGGGCAGCCGTGCCGGAGGAGACGGGCCCGGGACGCGAATGGCGGGCGGCCACCAGCCACCGCGCATCTGGGTGTGTGGACGGCTAGCACGGCGGTGCCCGCAAACAGCCCCCAGCCTACCTGCTGCTGAGACAGGCCCTCGGGCATCGGCGTGAGCACCGCTTCGGGGTGCTTGCAGTCCACGTCGATAAACAAACTCTGCTCTTCTTCCAGACAAGACCTGTGATCTTAAAAAAGTCACAATGCTCTTATTTGACACTGAAACGATATATTCACAACACCACAGCTGGTAAAACAGCCCGTCGAATCTCGGCTTTGGGCAGCCGCCTCCATTTTCTGTGTTTACTTCCTGCCCGGCAACGACTACATTACAATTTTAACAAGCCCAAGACAATGTCCTCTCCACTGGAGGAACACGGTGCCCATCAGTATCTGAAATTTTCAGTACTTGGAAGTTTAACTTCAAAAGGCAGAGAGATGTCATTTGAATACCCAGATGGTGAAGCAGAAATAAGTACTACAATTTCTTAACCTATAAAATATGACATTCAGAATCAAATAAGGGCTGCTAAAACCTGCCAAGAACCCACACTCGGTAATCGACAAAAGCTAAGTGGAGACTCTATTTCTTGACCTTCTGTTTCCCTTTCTCCCTGGAAAAACACATTTTCCATCAAATCAGAACATTCAGACCAAAACTAAATTTATTTTTTAAAACTTAGCTGTAGCTAAATAAAGTATCTGGGGCACCTGGGTGGCTGAGTCGGTTAAGCATGCAACTTTGGCTCAGGTCATGATCTCATGGTTTGTGGGTTCAAGCCCCGCATCAGGCTCTGTGCTGACATCTCAGAGCCTGGAGCCTGCTTTGGATTCTGTGTCTCCCTCTCTCTCTCTGCCCCATCCCCACTCAAGCTCTGTCTCTCTCTGTCTCGAAAACAAACATTAAAAAAATAAAAAATGTATATATCAAGAAAAAAAGAGCCCACAAAAATGGCTGGAAAACAGAATAGCAAAGGAATTCTCAGGTAACAGGTCCCCAGAGATTAATGAATTTAAATATCCAAAATCCTGGCTGCGTAGAAACATTTCCAAAGAGCTTTTAAAAACCTCCCAATGTCCACACGCCTATGAGAATGGCCAAAATCCAGAGCACTGACCCTGCCAAGTGCGCCAAGTACGCCAAGTGCTGGAGAAAATGCGGAGCAGCAGGTACTCTCACGGCTGGTGGTCGTGGCCAAAGGTGCCACCGTGGAAGACGGTGCCATGGTTTCTTAGAAAACGAAACCTGCTCTTTGCCCACAATCCCGCAACGACACTCTTTGACATACACAAGGAGCTGACAGCCTACGTCCACGATAGCCTGCAACGGATGTTTCTAGCACTCTAATCCTAACTGCCCAGCCTTGGAGGCCACCAAGGTGCCCATCGGAAGGTGAAAGATAACTAAGACAGCACATCCAGACAGCGCAAAATTATTCAGCACTTAGAAGAAAGGAGCCCCCAAGGCACGAACAGACATGGAGGAAGCTTCAACATGTTACTAAGTGAGGAGTCCACACCTGTGCAACTCTAAGCCTGCCTTTCTGGGGAGGACAGGCAGTGAAGCTCCTCTGTGTGACGGGGGATCCCCGTTGTTGGACTTTCATCCAAACCCACCGAACGGACCACATCAAGACGTGCACTGTGGCCCCGGTGCTGACGACGTGCCCGGGCGGCTGCGTCCGCTCTAAGGAATGCACTGACAGCGGCACGGGCTGTGTGATGATGGGGGTGGGGTGAGGGCGGGGCGTAGCTCATGCTCGGTTTTGCTGCGGATCTAAAATCAATCAACGATAAAGTCTGACGAAGAAACAGACACAGAGCCTTCTGGTGTCCAGTCCCTCCCTCGAGTTTTACTGATGGGTCCCAGGGGTGCTGGGCCTGGGACCTGGTGTGTCTCAGGGGACCCCACGTTGTGAACATCCACGTCGAGGAGCCGCAATTCAGTGCCATCTTCCCATTTCACAGCTTAGGACATGATGTGCCTGATGACCTGCTGTGCCCCCAGGGGACCCGCGGACCTCCTCCCTGCCTGGCTCAGGGCTTCAAGCCCGTCCTAAAGGCTGGGTCACTGGCCCGCAGATCCTGGTTCGGGGCCTCAGCTAGGGCCAGAGTCGGCATTTCTGACCAGCGCCTGGCACCCAGGGCCCCAAATCCCAGGCACCTCTCAGACCCTGCCTGTACATGCCCCCACCCCCCCACTCCAGTGAAGATGTTCTTCCTCGGGGCACCTGGCACGCCACCAGCACCTCATCGGGGCCGTCTCCTTCCCAAGTGACGCTCTGGGGCTCCTGACCACCTCTCCTCCGTCTGAAGCCGCCAAAGACGTCATCGGCACCACAACGCGTTGAAAAGTCTAGTTTTGAGTTCAGGTACATACAGGCTTCCGAGGCTGCCCTGGCGGAAGCATGGCCTCACCATCGTCTCCAGGCACGGAGACCAGCAGATGCTGGGCTGAGTGCCAGTTTGCCTTGGGGAGCGTTTGTGCAAGCAACAGTCATGTTTTTACAAGAACAGGTCAGAGCTCCCTGGGAGACTGCGCTCTCGTCCACACTGCACGTAACTAGCCAGCCTGTGAGGACACAGCGGCGTGTAGACGTTTTCTCCAACGTCCAAGAATCCTCGGCCCACAGCTCAGTGTCAGCACGGAACACGGCAGACACAGCCCATCTTTCCGACAGATGGACAGCACCGGCTACACCCCACTTGGTGACAGTCTCAGAAATCCTGAAACTTCTGGAATCATCTCAGAGCTTCCCTCACCAGCAAGCGTTCCTAAAATCCCTGCTCAGAACAAGACCTTCTCGGCTTGTGTCTTGGTGGGAAACACACGTGCGTATGAGAACTAACGCACCGCACACGAGGCCTCCTGTTACTGCGCCTTGTTAAGGACGGACTTGCTGAGAAGCCCCACTGACTGACGATGTCCCAGGACACCCAAGGGGATGTCAGAAGGGAGAGCAGACTGAAGCCCCCAGGGCAGTGTGCGGGGTGGGGGGGGACGGGGGCTCACTACGGGCCTGCGTGCTGAGAGGAAACAGCAGAAAGAGAAGTGATGTCTACTACCTCCGCGAATCCTCACTTTCTGCTGCGCGCGTGCGCGCGTGTGTGTCCGAGCTACTGCACAAGGCCGAGCACGCCCTGAGCTGAGTGTGCACCCTTCCCCACACTTGGGAGGGAGACCCGGGTGGCCAGGCTAAGTCAGAGCCCAGTGACGAGCACATGCTGAGGGTGTGCGACATGCCTGTACTGTGCTCCCACCACAACGTGCTGTGTCGTGGGGGGGCCACCAACCTGGGGCCATGAAGGACTTGGTCCTGATGAGTGAGCGGCCCCTCCTCACGGCGGCCTTGGTCTTCTCCAGCCCGTCTTTAGTGCCCTCCTTTGCAGCCTTCATGAGTTTCTGCATCTGTAAAAAAGGGAGAAACGTGAGAGGCAGACAGTCGGTAAAAACCCACTCACTGTTTTTATTTTATTTTAAAAGAACACTGTCAAGTAACTTGGTCCTAAAACGTCACCCGAAGCTGGCTTTTTGGTGTGGGAGCACTTACTTGCTTGGTGTGCGCATGTGTTTAACTTGGGCCACATTTTGTTTGTTTAGAAGAAAAAAACAAGGAAGGAAAGCAAACGTAAAGCCAGCCCTTCCCTGACCTGGTTTCCTGCTGTGTGAACGGCAGCCTCCACTTGTCTTATGATCTCTTACAAACACGGAGGCTCGCGGACATGAGAGGGAGAGCAGGTAAAGCACACACGTGTTAGGCGGCCGGGCCAAGGTCACTGGCAAACACAGGAAACCGGGAAACGCGGAGCCCCCCACTGCCTTCCTGAGTCCCCGGGAGGCCAGGCCAGAGGCTGGGACAGACCGAAGGACAGCCCACGTGGGGAGGCCGACGGGCGGGAGTCAGAAACACCACCGCACACCGCAGCGCCGTGCGGGGATTCTGGTCACCCGCCCCCAGTCCTGCGGGCGCTCCCAGGGGCCATCAGTGCCCAGGGTGGCACGGACCCACTCTGGCACACCCCTTATGCTGGAATATTCTAAGATCTGAGGTGTGGGCCATCGGGCTCCACGTGACTAGAGAAAGCCCAAATAGCCTCCTCCAGACAAACCAGGATCCCGCCGAGGGGGCGTCCACACGGCCTGCCGCCCTGGTCCTCCCGCACCTCCCTCCTCGGCCACCGTCCCTGCCAGCGCGCCTCAGGACTGGGTCGTCAGGGCCACCGCCAGGCCGAGCCTCGTGCACAGTGCTGCCCGGTCACAGCTGAGGGCGAGGGCTGTCCGCTCGGCACCGCGTCCCTGGGGGAGCACTGCTGTCACACGCGCACTGTGGCTGCGCGTCCTCCATCTCCCTGCTGCTCGGCCACGTGAGCCCAAACCGCGTCCACGCTGCCCAGCCAGCGCCCCGCTCCAGCCCCGCGGGCCACGGCCACTGCGGTCTCCCGGGAGGAAGGCCCCCAGGATCGTCTGACTTCCACGTCCCTTCCTGCCCGTTCTGGGGATGTGCCCCCCACCACACTCACCCTCTCCCCGCCGGCCTTGTGGCCTCCACCCTGCCCCACGCGCCCAGTGCCCGTCGGCCCGCGAGGCGCCTCTGCTTTGTCTCCTGACCCACATGGCCTTTCCAGATCCCCCCCTTTCTTACCCCACACGAGAGCCATAAGCCCCGGTCTTCAGCCCGGCCACGGTCAGGGTCCCTGTCCTCGAGCAGCGATAAAGACTCAGGTTCCGGGGAGCTGAGATGCCCATCCCAGGTCACACGGCAGCCAGGAAACAGAGCCCGGGCTCCTGACCCTTCCGAATGTCCGCTTCTCACTGGGGGAGGGGGGTCCGCTTGGCCCAGCCCTCACTCACTCACCCACCTTACTGCCCGGCCCTCACCCACCCACCCCTACCTTACTGCCCGGCCCTCACCCACCAACCCCTACCTTACTGCCCGACCCTCACCCACCCACCCACCTTACTGCCCGGCCCTCACCCACTCACCCCTACCTTACTGCCCGGCCCTCACCCACCCACCCCTACCTTACTGCCTGGCCCTAACTCACTCACCCACCTTACTGCCTGGCCCTCACCCACCAACCCACCTTACTGCCAGCCCTCACCCACTCACCCCTATCTTACTGCCGGCCCTCACCCACTCACCCCACCTTACTGCCCGGCCCTCACCCACCCACCCACCTTACTGCTCACTGTCCCCCCAACGCGTGCTGTTCGCCCTGCCACACCCTACTGTCTGCCCTTGTTTCCAGATTCCTCCACCGAGCTGGCCTCCTTCACGCTGCCTTCACGGCCACTGACTGAGCTCGGGGCTCCCCAGAAGACCCCACCAGGCCCCAGACGCTCCCTCGTGGGAACCCACCAGAGGCTCCACGGAAAGAAGTGATTCCCAGCATTTTGCTCCTACTTTGGGGAGCCCAGGGCTCCAGAACACTCTGGAATTAAGCGGGTGACTGTAACAGAGAACACTTGCTTCTAAGGAAACATGTATTTTCAGTTAGACGCCATTCAACACACAAGCAAGTCACGACAGCAGAACAGGGGCTACAGGGAGTGAAGACTGCTTGGCGGCACCCTTTTAAACCTCGCTGCTGAGAACTGACGGCCACCACGTTCGAAGCTGGTGGTTCTCCGGCCTCCTGGTCTCCAGAGCCCTCCGTACCCATAAAAACGCCCAGGGTCCCAGCGAGGTCTGTTTATCTGGCTTTCACTGATCTACATTCACTGGGTGAAGAGTGAAAATTGACCAAAACATATCAAACTTTTAGGAATATTCATTTAAAAAAAATAATAAACCCGTTCTGTGTCATCTAAGTGCATTTGTGAAAAATCACCGTGTTTTTCCAAACCACAAAATAGGTGGTGCTGTGCGGCACGGCTGGACAGGTCTCTGGCTGTGGCATCGCACACACGGTGGGGCCTCCGGGGACCTCCCACCCATGTGTGCGAGCACGAGAGAGAAGGCAGCAAACAGTGTCTTAGAATTAAGGGACCCGCTCTGTGGGCCTCGGTGACCCGTGGGAGCCCATGACCACACTCTGAGAATAGTGTTCACACAGAAAGGGCCAAACTTCGTTTCCTTGGCACTTCTGCTCACAGCACAGTCTGCTCTGAATGAGCAGCGTCCGTGCGGCGGGTGGAGAGGTGAGCCACACTACCTTCGGCTCCTGTCTCTGCTTTAGCGGCTGAGACTCTGTGGCTGCCACCGCGCTTGCCTTCAAAGCTCTCATCTTTTTCTCATAGTGCTCCTTGAAACAGGCTAGGTCATGGGAAAGCTACAGCATAAAGAGACACAATTTTCACAAGAACGCTCCTTCTGTCCTTTGAGACGATCGTACGTTGCGAGGCCTGGGCAGCGGCATCTGGGGGACCCCACGTGCCACAGGGAGCCCCAGCTCTGGCCCACCGACTCCTGGGAGATAAAAATGAGGAAGTCAAACATGTGGGGCAAGGAGGCGGCTTCACCAGAGCCAGACTGGAGACTTTTCTGCGCCGGCCCAGAGCAGGCCCGTGCACAAAGGGTTGCGGGACGCCATTCACATGCACGGGGACAATGCTAACATGATCAGACGGGTAAGTAAAATGCGTGTGAAATTATTCCTTGTGTCAGCACCGAGGCAGGAGACACTGTGGTTCACAACTGCACTACATGGTGTCAGAATCTGCAAATGGGCGCACAGATTTTTTAAGTCCCCAAACTGACGGGGAAGGTGTGAAATCTCCTAAGACACTGTCCATGTGACTGCACACGCCTCGGACGTGGAAACCCAGCCCTCAGGCTTCTCCAGAGAGCCTCCCACGTCAACCCACGCGAAGACATGGTGAGCAACACCTTGAGCAAATGCGGATGAGAGAACGGGCTCTTCTCCAGTCGACTTCATGACTCAAGGTGCTCAACAGACCGTTGTAAACACAGGACTTAAAGGAGACCGCTCAGTCCTTCCCCGGCCCCTCCATCACGCTGGCCATGCTCCCAGCAGCCCCAGGGTGTGGCCAAGCCAGGGCAAGTGCGGTGGGAAGACCCCACCTGATCATCCCGCACCCGCCAGCCACACTGTGGCGGTTCACCTGCTGCCAGCAGCCTCTCATGTGGCGCTCTGAGGGCCCGCCTGGGAACTGGGGTCCATTCTGAGGGTGAGGAAAGCACTGTTTGTTCGGTAAGCCAGTGAGTGGCTCATCAGCAGAACCTGACACCGTACCCGCCCACTGAAGGGCACTGGAGTGTTTTACCACTCTTCCTGGGCACCTGTGTTCAACTCTCCAGTCCCAAGCCCAGAGTGTTGGGTGCACAGAGTGAAGCCTGACCATGCTGGCAAGTGTCCACTGTGCCGACTCAGCTGGCAGAGGGGGTCTAACGGACGGCCGTAAGGATGGGAGGTGCTTGGGCCACCTTCCCAAAGCAGGAGGCTCACAGAGTACGGGAACGAGGACCGGTAGCCACCCGTCAGCCCGAGGTTCGTGGAGGCTTCAGCCAAGAACCCAGCCGTCGGCATACCGGGCGGGCCACAGCATCCATCCACACGGTCACGGTGGCGAGGCAGTAACTACAGCCCGGTCTGCACCAACACAGCCTCTGTGGGCCTGTGGCCTGACGCTCGGCCTCACACAGAAAGCACGTGAAGTCTGCAGACTCGTGTGCAAACGTCAGAACACATCAGCCCTTTCACTGGCAGCCAGAGCCCACGGCCAAGGGCACCGGCACAGCCGCTCAACACTGAAAACCAGAAGCTCGTTAAGATGAGGTACAACCTCAGACAAAAGCACTTGTAGGCCCTATGTCTGACAGCCACCCAATTCTGGAATTCGTGGTCCTGATCTGTGACATGCCACTTCCGGCCTTCACCTCCAGAGACCCTTCCCGCCCCCATTCCACTCAGGACAGTGAACGTGGGGCAGTTTAGCAGCTCTGGCCCTCAACATCATCTTGTGACAGATTCTGTCTTTAGATCTTCCTTCCTGTGTAGAAAATGTGGAAGTTCAGAATACCCCTTGAAGGAAAGCAGGCTTGTGCCATGTCTCAGAGACCTGACTCGGTGCAGTATGCACAGACAGCGTGCCGTCTACACAATGCCATGAAAGAGGGAGCAGCCACGCAGGCCCCTGTGAGTGACCTCACTTATGAGAAGGTAACTTCCCATCCTGCTACGGTTACACTTACAACGTGAGACAAGGGACCCTCCGCGGTGGCCAGGGTCTCTCTCTCTCTGCATGCTCGGTACCAACGTCTTTAAGAACACCTGAGTGTGATGGCCCGAGCATCTGCAGGCCGTCCTGGGCTAGCACGAGACGTCCTGCCTCTCGCGCGGGCTGGGCACATACTTGCTGTCTGTGGTTGCTGCGCAGGAAGGACCTGGGGACCCCGTTCTTGCACTCGGAGTCACTCTGCTCCTCGTAGCTCTCGAATTCACTGGAGCTCCATCCGTACTCCAAAGAACTGTTTCCACCTTCATCTCCATTCTCCACGTCATCATAAATCATCTCATCTGATGGCAAAAATGCCAAAAGGACATTAAAAAAAGCAGAATTCACTGGTTACGTTTTACCCGATCACTGAGCCCTGGGGTCTTGGAAGCATATTGGAAACCCACGGGGGCAGTGTAGAGCCTCGGGGTTGGCTCCCCCGTACAGGTCGTGGGGAGCCCCTTCAGGGTGTGGGCAGAGACGCGCAGGGCCAGACAGCACTCCGACGAACCCCTGCCCCCAAGAGTGTCCTGAGGGCCAAGGTCTCGAAGAATCCGGCATGATGATACGAAACAACTGCTGGCCAGACGTACAGAATGTAAACAAGGTAGGCAAGTAGGTGATAGAGACATTCAAATACGAACACGAGCTCATGGGAAACCATTGTAAATTTTGCCATCGTGCGAATAACCGTCTCACAAATCTTCTAATCTATCACTGTTTTTAAAATATTTCAATCACAAATCATTCAGAATTAGTGAAAAACACATGTTTATACCACTAAATATGATGACAGGGGATCTTCACTTTAAAAATTCCGAAGACTATAAGTCCCATCTTTTATCTCCCAATCTCTGCTCTGCAAAAGTGAATTCCGGGAGCCAAGCTGCATTATGGGGGCCCCCAGGAAAAGGCACACATCTTGAGGTTCATTACCAACTAACTAACCCACATCCTTTCTGACACATGCAAAGGCCTCAGGTCCCAAGAAAGTACTTGTGAGATTCTCTGACAATTATAGAATGATATGCAGCAGCAGCAGAAAACCCAGATGGAGTTTCCTGTGGCAGGTTGACGGGACTTTCCAAGAATGAAAACGTCATTCTACAAACTTCGAGAACATCAGTGTCTCTCTAAATTCCCTTACTTATTAAACACATGAGCATAAATGGCTGTTTCAGCTGGAGTTTCTCAGGTATAAATGACTTGCCTGCTTAAGCTATCACTGAAGGAGAGTACAATGTGAGCTAAAAGATGGCATTTATGTTTTTCAATTAAATTTTTCTCTGGTCACCTGGGTGGTCTAGTCAGTTACATGTCCTACTCTTATTTGGCTCAGATCATAATCTCATGGTTTATGAGTTCAAACCCCAAAACAGGCTCTGTGCTGACAGCTTGGAGCCTGCCTGGGATTCTCTCTCTCTCTCTCTCTCTCTCTCTCTCTGCTCTTCCCCCACTTGTGCATGCACACATGTACATGCTTTCTCTCTCAAAATAAATATTTGAAGAATTTATTCCTTGGGGCACCTGGGTGGTTCAGTCGGTTAAGTGTCCGACTTCGGCTCAGGTCATGATCTCATGGTTCGTGGGTTCGAATCCGCGTCAGGCTCTGTGCTGACAGCCAGCTCAGAGCCTGGAGCCTGCTTTGAATTCTGTATCTCCCTCTCTCTCTGACCCTCCCCTGCTCACGCTGTTTCTCTTTCTCTCAGAAATAAATAAAACTTTAAAAAATTAAAAAAAAAAGAATTTATTCCATAGGCATCCTTAGTTGTTCTCTGTAATGAAACTTAGCCTTAAAAATCTTCAGTAATTCAGCCTTGATTAAAAGATTCTCTGGGGCCAAGAGCAAGCTTTGTATATATAATGACATTTAAAGGCAAACATTTGCTTTCGTTGGAAATGAGAAGTAGGTACAAAACTGTCACTGACTATTTCAGATTACTCGGCCTTGGATTTTATCTCCATGAACTGAGATTAATTCTAGAATATAAAACAGAAATCCAAATTTCTGGTTTTAAAAGCCCTGAGGAGGTAAAAGCCCTGTCATCTGGGTAAAAACATGCAATATGTGAAGCCACAGAAGCGTGGGTCAACGTGCCTGAAGGACGCCTATGATGGCACCGACTGGGCACCAGATCAGCAGGGCAGGTGGATTCCGGGGATGTGGCCGACCCTGGCTCAGCAGCCACGCAGGTCTGGGCCGAGAGCCGTCCTGAAGGAGGCAGCTGGCCGCAGGAAGGACCTGGTGACCCTCTACGGCATGGTCGGCAGCAGAGGCACACAAACGTGCGGAAGGTGCCTGTGCGCTGTCTCCTGGTGCGGCTCATGAATCCTGAAGCTGCTCGATTAGCACACCCTTCTCCCTCCACAAACCCCAGTGGACATCGGGCTACTCTGTGTGCAGGAAACAAGTCCGGACGCACAGCACGGCCGGTGCCGCCCACACCCACGGTGGGATGTCCAGCCTGTTGCAGGTGCACCCAGATCAGCTGGAGGGCTGGTCCCGGCTCCGGGGAAGACGGCCGAGGGTCCTGCTCTACTCTGAGTGCTGCTCTCGGCAGGCTGGCTGGCTTGTCCACCTTGGGGAAGCAGGAAGTAGGCTATCGACACCAGGCACGATGGGCCGCCTCTAACTCAAGTACATCACCACTCAGCGGTCAGAATGTGGGAAAATAACGCTTCTCCATGTTCTGGGAAAGGCAGTACTACCTGGGCCTCGCCTGCACACAGAAACTTTCAAGGACTCGGAAGCGTCTTGTTAACGACAGGTGATTGACACTTTGTGAATTACAATCCCCTCCTGAGTTCCTGGACACACAGACTGGTGCTTTATGAAACCGAAAAGTAAGCACAGTCCCCGGGGGGGGGGGGGGGGGGGGGGGTGTGGGCGTGTGTTTCTCCCACGAGGCCAATGAAGGGAGAGGTCAGCAACTTGCTACCTGCCCTGGGCCAGGATGGCCCTAAGAAGTGCTACTGTGGTGGCGATGGCCACACGGTCCTGTGAGTGTGCCTAATGTCACTGAACTGTGTACTCTGAACTCGTTAAAATGGGTCAATTTTATGCAGTGTGCACTTTACCACAATAAAAAAGAAAAAAAGCAACAACACAGAAAAACGCGACCCCAGATGGTCATTATACTATCTCATAAGAAACCCTTCAGTCTCCTGCCAGGATTTGTGACAGAACTTAACCCGAAATGACCATATTTTGCACAAAGCACACAGGCCTCCACTCTCCCTCGGACACATCTGTCTCCCCAAGTTTACCCGCTGGAGCGCTCACATCCTGCACAGCTGGAGCAACCTCAAAGATCTAGTGCCAACTACTTCACTAAGAATATATTTAGTTACTTTTCAAATATCAAAATGCACCACAAAGCACGAAACAGCAGGCCTGTCTGCAGACCCCGACTAAACGCCGTGTCAGCGGCCACCCCTGTAATGGCAGCTGCACGAGCCTACACGCACACAGCCAGGGCTCGGGCCCCTCCGCTGGGTCAACGAGAACCATTCTTGGCCTGTGGCGTCCCCTTATGTCTGAGGGGTGTATCTATCTAAAGACCAAAGGCACCCTACCTCTGTGTGTCTGCTTTTTACTCACCGTTGCCTTTTCACTCACACACATACACACAGTCATTTATTCATTTGTAACGGCAATATAACGGTCTATTGTATAAATTCACTGCCATAGGTTGATCCTTTCCCCAAATGTGGGCCATGATGTTTCCCCTCATCTTTTGCTCATTTTCTTAATTTATTTTATTTTTTTAACATTTTATATATTTCTGAGAGAGAGAGAGAGAGACAGCATGAGCAGAAGAGGGTCAGAGAGAGAGGGAGTCACAGGATCTGAAAAAGGCTCCAGGCTATGAGCCAGATGTCAGCACAGAGCCTGACGCGGGGCTCAAACCCACGAACCGTGAGATCATGACCTGAGCCGAAGTCAGACACTTAACCAACTGAGCCACCCAGACGCCCCTCCCCTCATCTTTTGCTCTTTACAAATGGTACTGCAGATAAGTATCCCTGCACATGTCTCCTTGACAGCAGGCACGAATTTCTCCAGGACACACACCTGCAAGGGGACCACCGGTTTGTATCGCTGTCTGCACGTTAGCTGGGTCTAACTAAAGTCTTTCTCAAAACAACTGCAACACCAAGACGTTTAATGAGGAAAAGAGCAAAGGGCCACAGAGGGTGCCAGGACCCTTTGTGATCCTAACGAGGGAGGGTCCTGGCTGATGTGGGACTGAAAGCTGCCGTGAAGGCCCATCAGGGTCAATATATCTAGGGAACTGTGTCAAAGAATCACATTAAGACATCTGACTTCTATGACCATAAAGTTTTGAAAATATTTGTGGGAACCTTGAGCAGACTCTTCTTTATTTAAGAAATAAAGGGAGTAAGAGGGAGGTATTCTTTTAGCTGACAGTTCGGTGACTCTTGGTTGCATCCATACACATCAGGACCCTGCTAGGCACTGTCCTTATAGGGACACAGCAGGCTCTATGCAGAACAGTGGTCACCTTTGGTAGGCAAACCACTGGTAGACCTTCTGTCAGTGTTTTGGATTTAGAGGGGACAGATCAACCCTTCTGTGTTGGAAAAGGCCTACCTGGTAGCAAAAATTACCCGAAAATGAATTCCAAGCTTGTTTTTACAGAAACGAGTCTTTAAGCCCCACCTTATTTGCATCATGTATTTAAATAACTACCTAGGAGCACATTTATTGATAAGCATTTCCAGTTCTGTTTATAAAGGGATCCAAATGTTACGTATTTATCTCCCTCAACGTAGGAATCTCAAGGGCAGGGATGACTGTTAGCTGAAACTTAATCCGTGCTCGGTATGTAACACTATCCAAAAGGATTTTGGAATGAATAAACTACCATGTGCTTTTAACTCTCTGTCATTTAGCACGCTGGATGAAAATGACAAGAACGTGTCCTTTTCTAGGCTGAGAATGTTTCCTCCTATTAGGAGTTTTTAACATTGAATGGCCACAAATCTTGTCAAGTGCACTTCAAGGAGATACTGAGATGAGCCTATGGTTTATGTCCAGGAGTCTGTTCCTGTGGAAAAGATGGTAAAAGAACCTGCTCATGTTGAAGGGTCTGTAACCTCCTGAGACTGATCTGAAGGGTTAAGGTCGGCTTTTGCTGACTTGCTGGGATATTACTGGATGTGATTTCTTTACATTTTCATCAGGATGTTCAGCATCACCCCTTCAAGCGAAGGGGGTTCTAAGTTTACACCAACACCCTAAAATGAGTCACATGCTCTTGTCTTCTACTATCCACTGGGACCGTGTGCAGAGCTGAGGAACTCTCTAGTCCCCGACAGTTTAGCAATTCACAGGCGAGGACAATGGTCTTAGCGGGCTGCTTGGCAGATTAAAATTCTAGATTGTGAATCATCAGACATTAACATGTTCTACTTCAGACACAGTCGAAGTGTTTTAACTAACTGATATCAAGTTGTTTCTAGAATCCCTTCATGGCGTTCGTGTATTACTACTGAAGTTTCTTGTTCCTGATCCTTTCTTCCTTCCCTTCTTCGCTTCCTTCTCCCTCCAATAATATCGTTTCTTCCTAACACTACGAGGGGCTTGTCTATTTTTACGTTATTTTTAGAGAATTGCTCTTTTGTTCCGATGATACATTCTATTGTTTGTTTTCCGTTTTATCACTTTTGCTGTTATCATTTTTTGTCCTTCTACTTTCGCTGTTTGCTCTGTTATTCTTTTATGTAACAGAGTAGATACCGAGCTCAGTACTCTTCCATCTTCTTTTATTAACAAACGCCATTGTGTCTGTAATTCTTTATTTTAAATCTATCCTGTAAGATTTTATGCCGTATTTTCATTATTCAAGTCATAATATTTCTACTTTCCATTCTGTTTTCATCATTGTCTATGAGCTAAGTACTAGTATTGTTTTTAATTTTCAAATGTTTCTATTGTTTTTTTTTTAAATTAGGGAATGAGGCATGAATGTCAATTCTTTGGCATTTCTTAACATTTGCTTTGAGGAATGCTATATAATATTTATAAATATTCCATGCATTTGAAAAGAAATATCCATCTTTAGGTTGATCACATACTATATTCTTCTGCAGTTTACTAATTTTGTATCCAGTATCCATGACAGTGGAGGGAGCTTTCTTAAAATCTCCCACTCCAATTATGTACTTAACTATTGCTGATTGTTCTTCAGTCATATTTTGCTTTATACATTTAGAGGCTGTCTTGTCAGGTGCACACAAGTTTAAAACTCTTAGAATTCTCTCTTGTGAAGGACTCTATACCTAATGTTTTATAGCCTAACATTCAATATATTATAGTAATACTAGTTATATTTTGGTTGGAATTGGCCTTATGTTTCTTTTTCCATCAATTTACCTACAAAAGTTTTATATTTTTATACAGCTCTTGTAAAAATATATGGCTAGCTTTGTTACTTTATCCAACCTGAGAATTTCTTTTATGGGCGATTGGATTCAACTTATATTTACTATAAGTAGCAATATATTTGCACTAAGGTTGCCATCTTTGTTCATACCATTTGCCATACTTTCTTACTTTACATTTTCTTGCTTTCTACCAGACTGGGTTTTTCTCTATTGGTTTGGAAGTTAAAGAATCCATTTCTATTCCTTTACTGGTTACTCACAGCAAAAAACACACAATCACTATCTATACTCTCTCCCTGAAAACTGCACAGACATTAGATGCTTGGGGTTAGTCACCCTCCAGTTGCCAGTAACCATAGCCTGGGGCTTGCTCCCTCCCTGTAGTTATACTCTTGAAAGAAACAATGCTGTTAGTGCAGTCTTGATCAATCCTGCTTTAGATTCATTCACAAAGTTATTTGCTCACTGCTCTTTCTGCTTCTCATTAGGTTCAGTAACTTTTCCTTGAAATGCAACGTGAAACAGCTCTTAGAGTCTGAGCAGTAGATCCCTCCAATCTTCAGCTAACACTGCCTTTGCTCCCTCTTTTTAAACACCTGTGTTTTGGGGTTAGTAGACTGATCTGTGCTCAGCAGTTTTAAGTGTATGTGCCTATGTATGGATTCAGGCTTGACCCTGCTTTGAACTTGTATTTCTACAATTTGAGAACTTAGATCTTTCCTGAATTCTAGAAAAGCATTAGGACTTCCTTCTTCTACTTTCTCATTCATGTTATTTATCAGATACGTGTTAGTACTTAGCCTCCACATTGCTTACTTTCCATTTACACGCTTCACATATTTAACTCCCTCTGCTTTACACTTATCAACTATCCCTTTTAAAGTTGTAACACAGGGGCGCCGGGGTGACTTGGTTAAGCGGCCGACTTCAGCTCGGGTCATGATCTCACAGTTCATGGGTTCGAGCCCCGCATTAGGCTCTGTGCTGACAGCTCAGAGCCTGGAGCCTGCTTCAGATTCTGTGTCTCCTTCTGTCTCTGCCCTTCCCCTGCTCACGCTGTCTCTCAAAAATGAATGAATGTTAAAATAAAATAAAGTTGTAGTACAACCACACATACCTATGTGCTCAAATATTCTACCCCCAGTATCAATGAGGCACTAGAAGACACATAAAACATGAACATAAAACACATACGAGCTGTGTATCTCAGGTTTGTGGGCACAGTAACAAGTCATTTTTTTTATACCCAAAGAGAAAGACTGATAAACTGAATCCTCTAAAACTCAAATTTCAGACAACTCAAACCTGGTTCAGAGTCTGAATTTTCTCTCGGCACGTCATCATAAATGGCTTCTTCTGGATCTGGAATAAAAAGAAGGAAACTTTCAAAACCGACCAAGTACAATGTCCACTGTTCAGGCCCACAGTCTCCGGTGATGCCACACCAGTGCCAAACGCGTGCACCTGTGCAAAGCAGCAGTTTTCTTGGGACTGAAGGATGACGCTCTATGTGAGCCAGCTGTGTATAGGGAGTTTTATGGTTTCTAGGCCAATTTAGTCCATTATTTTGTGTTCACCTGCACTTTTCTATGTGGCTCTTTATAATTTTCAGCCTACAAAGTCAATGTGCTCTGATGTACAAACAATACAGAGGCGCCATGCAGTTTCAGAACCAAAGGGACTGCTCAAGTGGTGCTACATTAACAGGGAACTTAAAACAAATTGATGGTTCTATGATATTCTGAACTATTAGATATGAAAAGTAGGCGCATGCAAGTATCTCAGACTACATTATGTGGAATATTCGCATCCTCTGAGATTTTAACACGTTTTCTTTTTTTTTTTAAGGTTTTTTTTTTTTTATTTATTTCTAGAGAGAGAGAGTGAGCAGGGGAGGGTCAGAGAGAGAGGGAGTCACAGACTGAAACAGGCTCCAGGCTCTGAGCTGGCAGTCAGCACAGAGCCCGACGCGGGGCTCGAACCCACGAACCGTGAGATCATGACCTAAGCGAAAGTCGGACGCTTAACCGACTAAGCCACCCAGGCGCCCCTGTAACACGTTTTCTTAAGAAAAGGTGGGGATCCTTTTGGGCCGGACTACATAGTGAATACGGTATGAAAAGGCTGTATATGAGACAGCAGCGAAGCCAGAAATCTATTTCAGATTTGTAAGAGTTCAGGCCTTCACGGAAATCAAGCACGCTCTGAGGTCTTCCACACTGAAAACCATAAAGGTCACCATGACTAAGCAACAACAGAAAAATGAGGTAAATACCCTCAACTCTGCCTCTGCCCTTGAGCCACTGTTAACATTCCGGGCAAGGGGTAGGGAGTAGCAGGCAAATTTGGGAACGTCCCTCATTCGCCTCCTGCTGCTAAGCCCCCATGTGATAGATGCTCCCTTCCTTGTAATAATGTAACTGCAACCGTGAAAAGCATTTCCACTCCTGAGAACGTGAGCGATGTCCATCTACGCGCCCGTGAGAACCACGAGTCCTCTTACGTGCAGACCTGCTTGTGATACTTTGCTGTAAGAACGCGGTGTATGACACATACACGCAATGTGCACTAAACGACAGTGTATGTGATTGGTAAGGCTTCTGGTCATCACTAGGCTATTAGTAGTTAAGTTTTGGGGGGAGTCAAAGGTTAGACCCAGAGATTTTGCCGTGGTGGGTGTCAGCACCCCAACCCATGTGTTATTCTTGTTAACTGCCACTTGTGCAGTAAAACAACTCGTGCGAGAAAATCAGACAAATTTGACTTTGGAAATAAAATTGCTAGTGAACAGGAAGACGATACTTTCGTCCTGGAATGACCCCGGATTTAGCAGCCCCCTAGCACAATCATCTACTTAGGCTAAGTTCCTTGGTGGCACTGTCATAATTAAAACCAGAACAACACATTCCAGGAGATAATTAAATAAGCGGGAGATGGTTACAATGGTTCTTCCTTGTAAGTCAATCACAGAAAATTACACAGAAATTAGTGAGCTAGTGGATAATAAAGGCATAATTAGAAAACACATCTTTACTCTTCTTTAAAAATTAAAAGTCAAATCTAGTTACAGACAGCTCAGCCTCGTAACCGCGCGTAGAACAGCGGCTCTGCGGTGCCATATGGCCAGTGGGCTGCCTTCATCAGCCACCCACCCCCTTTCCAAAATGGTAGCCTGAGAAACCATCGCAGTGAGAATCACAAGAAGAATGCCTGGGTAACGTCTCGGCGGTGACTGCTGACTGTGGGCCTGTGTCCAAGCGTCAGTTCCCCAAATACAGGACAATCGTGGCAGAACCCAAGAACTGCGCTGGGAAGGAACAAGTGGGAGGAACCCGCATGGGACGGTGTGAGCGGAGACGTTCGGACTGGAAGTAAAATATGGCTTCAGGGAGCCCCGGGACAGCAGTGACGGTCAGCTCTGGTTGGTCCTTCAGGGAAATGAATGAAGTTTTGAAGGGACATGGGAATAACCAGCAGAACCCAGCAAAAACACGTTGTTCCCCGGGACGGCGTCCACGCAGAGCCCGGCGAGGATGCGCGCACGGCCCCGCCGCCTTCCCGGTGCTCAGGGTACTTACTCTCCATCCACGCGGTGTTGGCCGGGTCCGCCGCCCACCGGGCGAGGGCACTGTCCTCCTGAGGCGCTCGCTCGTCACTGGGAGAAAACAAACCAGGAAGCCACAGCGGTGAACATACTTCTGGTCAGGAGGCTGCTGCATGTCCCCAGGGGGTACATGAGCTCCAACGTGTGCATGCCGTCCCCTGATATTATTATGGGCATCCTGTGCTGAGAATGTCTTCTGAGCTGCTGCCTATGCAGTTTAAAGTCTGATCCTGCCAGCCACACCCACGGCGTGGACGTGTGTGGAAGGACCCAAGCTTACGGCCCCACCATACCTTCCCACTTCTCTTTTTCGGGGCATCTTTAAAATAAACACTTAGACTTAAGCCCTCGAAAAGTTAGTGATCTCCACCCTAATCATCTCATTAGTAACTGAGTGGTGGGTGGGTGACCTCAGTCCATATCTATTGGGACAGGGGACGCCCTTCCCCTGGCTCCCTGCACACACCCCATTTCTGAGATACGTGAGTAATAGATCTGGTGCCTTTCCTTCCTAGTCCATGGGGGTGGGCATACTGAGGCAGTGCGTTCGATCAAAACGACCCGGGGACTTCACCTCCCCGAAGTGGTCACTGGGACGCCAAAGGGGCCACCGGCTGACACAGGCAGAGGCTTCTGCCCCTCACCCACCAGGTCGAATGTGCATGTGCTCATTTTATTGGACCAGCTGCGGCTTCTCGACAGACGCCAGGCTCAAGGTTTCACTCCCAGCGGTTTGTGAGCGCTTCCGAGTGATAAATGAGACACAAAGTCCCTGCCCCAGGAGACCTGATGCGTCTTCCAGTGGTTCGTCAGAACTTCTCGAGGGCCTGTTGTGTGCCCCACACGGCACTGGCTGCAGAGACCCGCCCGAGTGACGTCACCCGCCAGAAATAAAAAGTGCTCATGACTCAGCTGGTGGTGTGCTCCAGCGTAATGGTCCTAGGGACCAAGCCACAGGTCACACTCGGGGAGCAGGAACGCTGTCCCGTGGGTGACAACAAGCCACCGGAATGCTTTATTCAAAGAGCGACAAGGTCGGATTCATTGTACACGCTGGGGACAGGCCCCACGCACGCTGATGAAGACCTCAGGGCCTATGGTCCCTGGAGCTTTGTAAGGAAGAGGTGGGCATGGCGTGGAGCACTGCACAGGAAGGGAAGAGACAAGAGCCATGGTGGGCGCCCAGAGACAAGCACGGGAGCTCGAGAAAACACACATGTGCAAATAAGAGTTTCATACAGAGTTAATGCCACACTTCACGATAAGTGACAGAGATGGCGGGGGTCGCTGCAGGGTGGTCTCTTCCCATTATTATCATTTTTGTTTGTTAAAAGTTCAAATGGTTAAATGCTTGCGAGACTGAAAGGCCAGGGAGATGGCAAAGATCTTAAAAATGTCCAGGTCATGGACACTTTAGCTGTGCAAGCACGTGCGACACAACACGCTGTGTTGTGGATGTGTGTAAGAAATGCCGAGCCCATCCCCGCACTTAGTTGAGGAAAGGGTCACATTAAAGAAAAAAATATTCTCACACTTTTTAAGTCTAAAATCACATCAAAATGAAGTTAAGCACAAAAGAGAAAATCTAAACAAAAATGGATGATATTTTAAACTATTCCTGAGTATTTCCGTGTGTTTAAAAAAGGTCATGTTTTGGAAAACAATTTGAGCTTCTCTCACACCACTTCACATTCTTTTCATTCTAAGAAACGATCCTTTCAGCAGATACGTTTCTCAACATACATTTCAGATCACCAGTGATAACATGCCACTCACTTGTCTCTTGTTACGCACAAGCTGTGATTCTACCGCGGGGCCTTGAGTGGATCTGCTTTGTGACAAATGTAATGTAAACTTGGTGCAAAGAGCTTGTGGCGTGTGTGCCTTTCTGCAGAGATCCCGCTCATCTGGGGAGGAGTGTGTCTTTCTACATTCAGAGGCCAGCCTACAGCCCCAAAGGAAAAGCCAGGTGAGTGTGAAAACGGCCGGTCGAGGAGCTGGTGCCCGAGTCAGGAGCCTGCTCTCGCTCCGTCTGCTCTGCTGAGGCCTGCGCAGGCGAAAGGAAGCATGGCAAGCCGCCACCTGGGAGGGAGGGAAGCCTCGCTGGCATGCTGAGACCAGTTTACTTACTCTCCGCCTCCGAGGCCCAGCAGAGGCCAGGCACTCAGTAACGGCTTGGCGAACTGAGGTGTAAACAACTAAAAGTGGATAAATAAACACAGCCAGCAGCAGCAAACACAGGACCAGGTGAGGTGGTGGATATTCTAATGCTTGGTAAAGGCTGGTCCCACTAATTGGCGTTTAACTCATAAAAGGTTACAGACACAAAGATGGAGATCATATACTGAAAAAAGGTCCAATAGAACAAGAAGATATAACCATTACAAACTTACTCCTAACTAACGAAGGAGCCCCAAAATAGATGAAGGGATATTACACAGTCATGGACCGTCCCACAGTGACAGCTAGGAGCGCCAATGTAGCACTTTCCACAATGAAACCACCGGGCAGAAGATGGTAAGTGAGACACAAATCAACTAGACCTAAGAGACACTGCAGAACATGACACCCACCGACCCTCAAGAGCTAAACTACAAACCTCTTAGAAGAAAACAGTGAGAGAGCTTCATGACACTGGATTTGCCAGCCACTGACTGGACAGGACACCAGAAGCATAGGAAATATAAAAGAAACAAAACACATAAGTAGGATTTCATCAAAATTAAAAACTTTTATGCAAAGAATGCCACTGAGAGAGTGAAAAAACAACCCACAGCATGGGAGGAAGTATTCACAAATCACGTATGTGATAAGGGATTAGTATTGAGACTATAACTCCTACAACTCAACGAGAAACTCAATTCAAACATGCGGAAAGGACTTAAATGCCATTTCTCCAAAGACATACAAATGTACAACAGGACAGGACGAGGTGTTTGACATCATTAGTCACCAAGCAAGTGCAAACCAAAACCACCATGAGGTACCATTTCACACTCCCCAGAATGACTATAATCTTTAAAAAAATAGAAAATAAATTTGGTGACCATATGGAAAATTTGGAAGCAGTTCATTACTGGTGGGAATGTGAAGTGGTGCAGTCTCTGTGGAAAAGAGTCTGCTGGTCCTCAAAAAATGAAATACAGACTCACCATCCAGAGTTCTGACCGCAGGTGTACAGCCAAAGGGATAGGGAGTAAGGACTTAGATGCTCGTACCCCAGTGTTCACAGCAGCGCGATTCACAACAACCAAAAGGTGGAAACCACACACGTGTCCATCAAGAGGTGAGTGAGTGGACAAAAGGTAGCACGTGCTCACAAAGAAATATTACGCAGGCCTGAAAAGGAAGGAGATCTGGACGTGTCCTACAACGCGGGAGAACCTCGCTAACGTGATGCAAAGTGAAACAAGCCAGACACAAAAGGACACAAGTTACCCAGACTGGGCCAATCCACGGAGACGGGACGCAGAGTAGGGGTGTCAGGGGCTGGGAGGAGGGGACAGTAGATCACTACAGAAGGGTTAGAGGTCCTGTCTGAGATGAGGAAATATTCTGAACAGGGTGAGTGGTGATGGTTGTGAGACACAGCATATGCATGAGATGCCACCGAATGTTACACTTAAAATGGTTCAAATGGCACTGTATATGTTGTATACACTTTAACACAATTTTAACACGGATAACGCAATGTACCAAAAGCCATAGGACGATCCACTTCAAACAGGTGTGGATTAAACGTCAGTATGGCAGCTCAGCTGCCAAGCACCAAGCACAATGGCATGCGAGCCTTGGTCAAACCTGCTCTCTCCCTTCACAGGACTCAGTCCAGCAGCAGAAAGGGACAGAGGAAGCGACAGTGAGGGCACACTGTTGTAATCAGTTTTGAAGCAGGTGTGCCCACATAGCTCTGGAAGAACAAGAGAAAATTTTATAAAATGAGACACTGAGGCAGGGTTTTGAAATGTACGCAAGAGTTTGCCTAGAAGATGGGCTTTTCCTGGGCATCTAAAGGAGATGAAATAGTGTTTCTGAAGGCAAGTGGCACAAAAGAAAAGTCTACGATCAAATCAATTTGAGGTATTCTGGCTGAAAGCTGGGTCAGACCCACTGAAAACTCCCCTCCGGCCCCACAGGAGGGGTTCTGAGACCCTCTGCCACGCCAAAGCACACGCAGCATCTCCAGGACGGAGGCCGAGGAGGGCCGCCTCTTCCCGGCCTATCTGCACGTGCGTTCACGTGGTCGGTCTTTCCACATACAGTAGGAACCTCTAGTCGAATCCTCATGTTCTGGACACCTATCCTGGGAGCCCCTGGGCTAGAGAGCAGAGGGATGTTGGGGACCCGGGAGGGGAGGCTCTGGGCGGGGAACAGGCCTGGTCGGTCATCATCTCACAGCACTGAGGGCGGGAAGGACAGCCTCTTGGTGTCCCCACACTCCACGTTTTAGGAAACGGTAGTGGACTCAGAGCATGTGTGTAAAATGAGTAAGTTTACCTGTTTGCTGGATCCTCAGAACTTAGAGAATTAAATGGGCTGTCTTCTGCTGCTTCCTGTGTCTCTGTGAGAAAAGAAAAAAAAATCATATGGTTTTATGCTATGCTTAGGGTAAAATTGTAGGAATGGAATTTTACACTTAAAATGGTTCCATATTTTCTGTTCTTATGAATGACCGACAGCACAAAAATGATTGAGAAATATAAATTTTTTTTTAATTTTTTTAAAATGTTTTTTATTTTTAGGAGAGAGAGAGAGAGACAGCGTGAGCAGGGGAGGGTCAGAGAGAGAGGGAGTCACAGACTGAAACAGGCTCCAGGCTCTGAGCTGGCAGTCAGCACAGAGCCCGACGTGGGGCTTGAACCCACGATCCGTGAGATCATGACCTAAGCGAAAGTCGGACGCTTAACCGACTAAGCCACCCAGGCGCCCCAAGAGATATAAAATTTTTTAAGGTTGGATTCAAAATAAGATATTTTCAAAACAGGATTACAGTAAAAAGTGATATCCAAAGGCCCCTGCAACAGCTGCAATTAAAATGGTACCCAAAGAAACTGGGATACAGTAAAAAACACATTTTCTCCTGTGTCTTGACTTTTCACAGGAATTTACAGTTGTGATTTATTGGGAAGCGTGTCTGGATGAGAGCCTCCAGGGATTCTCGGGGGACAGAGAGCTGCATTCATGATATCTGACAACCAAATTTTTATATACTTACATGCACGTGCACACACAGGTATACACATGCACATGGGCACACATACTGGTACACGCACACACGTGTACTCACAAGCACACACGTATACACACGCATGTGGGCACACGTACTGGCGCATGTACACATGTATACACACGCACACACCTATACACACATGCATACACATGAGCACACGCAGACACACGTGTGTATTCACACACGATCTGTCACACGTGTCCGGCTGACTGCTGTCCCCCCATCCCCGGGTCTGATTTAACAAGCGGGTGATGAGCTCAGTTTTAGCCACATGCTTGACCGACTGGTGGTTCATTGCTACACTGGGAAACTGTCCCATAAACACTATTCTAGAAGGAATTTATCGTGTGCTAGGCAACCGTTCTTATCCACTTTCAAAGTGCTCGACAGTTGACTTGAGGTCCAGGAAGGCTGGGCTTCATGGATTAAGCCTGGAGTTCTCACTCATAAAAATGGTCCCCGGATGCCACTGAATAATAACGAACACCCCTCACCCACTGGTGGGCCCTGCCTGGCGGTGCACCAGGAGCCGTAGAGGCATGAACTCAAGTTCTAGAGGCCGCTGAAACCTCGCTATCTGCCAAAGAGCACACTCAGGTCAGAGGCAGGGCCAGGATCTGAACTCAGACCTGCCCATTCCACAGACTGCTCTTCCCTCACCACGCTCCCCCAAAGATGACCCAGGTGACCTCCTGCAGACACAAAGATACTCAACAAAGTCAACGAAGAAAGGATGTCGACTGGCAGTGAACACACATCACACAGTGGTTTTCTTTACGTGGCTGGGTCAAGGGGCCCTCTTGCCACCCCCAAATGCACACCGCACATGCCTGAATCCACCCCCCAAAACAACCCTTCCTGCCCGTGCCCCGCCTTCCAAGAAAAAAGATGCACTCGGGTGCGATGTCTGCTAACACGAGAACTTTGACGAGGAGTGTGATGGGCAAACTTATGAGGAAGTTCCCCTGCAGGCCACGCAAACCACTTGTCTCTTAATGTTCTGGAAGGATCTGGAAGCTCGTGCCAAGAGGCAGGGCACCATGAGTCTCTGACCGCTGGAGGCCCGCTAATGAACGGAGGCGGAAGCTCAGAGTTGTTTTGGGCGGTGGGGAAGACGGCGGGTTGCGGCTGTTCCTGTTTCTGAGTCCGTTCCACCGAGCAGCCTAGGTATGAGTGCGGGAGCCTGCGCGAGGACGCGCGCACGCCGACAGGGGCCTGAGGGCGCCCGAGCGAGAACGCGCACGCCGACCGCGGCCCTGAGGGGGCCCGAGCGAGAACGCGCACGCTGACCACGGCCCTGAGGGAGCCCGAG